CTGTGAGTGTCGCGGGACACTCTCCAGTATAGCTCAATGGATCGCTGAGGTGCGCAAACCGTCACACCACGGTAAGGTCCAGTCTCTTCGTGACGGCCTAAAAGCTTCAGTCTATTGGAGACAATTAAAAGCCGGACTCTCGTCCTAGCCACTATCCCTATGTACTTACACGGTCGATGGAGTTTTGTAAGTTCAACAGAAAATATATATTGTGGGAAGACCACCACTGACCTACCCTATAACTAACCGGTTCTTGCGTAGTTTGGACCCCATTCCCTCCCTTCGGAAACTACGATTAATAGGACATCGACCGGTCGTTGGTTTATTTTGTCTGTTACGTGGGGCGAGTAAAATCATACCTTCTGCGTGTATATGAACAATCTCGCTCATCATTTGGCGAAAACAACTCGTGACATACACTCCCGTACCAGCCAGGGCCAACTTTTGGACTGTGAAACCAACCGACCATCAACACATTTGGCCTCTGCGTAGATGTGGTGCGTGCACGCTCGTTCAGGCACAACACTCCCCAATAGCGACTATTGCCCTAGTGAGTAACTTTGTAGGGCTTCGATAGATCGGTTACTTCCACTCGACTTTCCAGAGTATCGGCTTTGGTATGGGTCTCAGAACAGATATGAGTACCATTGAAAAGCTACCGCCAATTTAATCTCCGGGCTAGCAGGAGCTTGCATTGATCCATGTTCAGTTGGCTGTGCGTCGCTCAGCCTTCATTAAAGCCACATGTGTATGAATGATAATTCGTATGCTAAATGTGGACACTGGCTTTGACCCCTTGGTGTTATTTTCAGCTTGTTTATCATCATTTGCTGACAACTCAACCCGTTAGGGTCTCTAAAGAAGCGCCTGGCTGCCATGCTACCCGAAGGAAGCACGAGGGTTTGGATACTGCCAGGTTGCCCAAGCCTAGACAGTGGAAGTCGTGAGGCGTAGGTCGGGTTTGAACCACGGACCCTTAGGTCAGTAGATTTGCCCTCTAACCACTGGGTCATCTCGTCCAGGGTCTCGTAAAGTAGAACACTAAAGTTGCGCAAATGAAAAACAGAAATCCCGAGGCGTGTGACCGATTTGGTTAGCTAGATGTGGCGCGTGCAGCGTTTTTAAGACAAGCAGGCGGCTAAGAAATCAGGGGGTGTGAAGCCATGTATCGCTGGGTTAGACGAACCTCCATGTTGCCATGGGAGACTTGACGGCTTCCCAAAAGCAAGCCTTTCCTGATCGAAATTGGCGTTTGGTGGAATAGTTGCGGTAGTCTGATCTCTAAGGTGAAACACAGATATTCAATCTGAGTAGAAATATCGGTCTCCGTTCGTATAGAGACCAACTAATTTCCCGGTTCACCAGGCCTGGTTGTTTTGTGGGAGGAGCACTGTACCATGAACGAGCATCAGTCATCCAGTACTTTCGCAGACCTTACCAGGCGCTCAGAAGTGGACATTTAATCAAGCAGTGTTCCCACCAAACAGGGTACGGTCAACGGTAGCGGCCTCCAAATCACATGAGTTGTGCAGTCTGGATCGAAGACGATCGAGGGCAGATGGTTCGAATTTGGATCTTGAATTACTGTACCAGACAATAAGCACATATCAGTTGCAAGAGAGTGTAGCATACGAAGTAGAGCATCCCGTTATCCTCTTTGGTCAAACGGGATATTTTGACTCAAAAACATGATTAGTCTGACTTTTGAGCCACACTGATAACTCAGAACATCGAGGGCCGTTTTACTGGTCCTCCCCCTTGGGAATCGTCACATGAGGGACTCTGTGAGTGTCATAGGGGCAGTGCAATTTCGAGGATTGAGCTACTGATCAGGAAGCCTGCCCGTGCTAGTTTGAGCCTTACCTTCGCTTTTTAGCTGCTCTTGCTTAGTCTCGACAGTATCTCAGCCTTTGTGCTGCCATCGGGTTACGTGGTGACACCATACCGAAGGGCAATCACAGCTGAATATTCTATATACCGATACAGCTGGCTGCTGTAGGGTGGCAGCAGAAGCTGTAGAAGAATTTCTTAGTGTATGTTTACCCCAGCTCCTTCACCATTGATTCCGAACTTGATTTTATTCAGGAACTGCTGAAGGTTTATGCTGCCGCCTGACCGTCCCATGTCCTCGTGACTATCGACCACCAGTGCAATTTAGAGACTTTGAAGTCAATCGTAACTCCATCACCATGGTTCGACAACTTGGTCATGGGAGCTTCGGTGAAGTGTACTTGGCTAAATGGAATGATTCGGTGGAAGTGGCTGTCAAGATGCGCCTGAGCCACACTGACCGTACCAAATTCATCGAAGAGGCTCGCCTGATGCACGAGTTCCATCATCCCCGTATCGTTCAGCTTCTCGGAGTGTGCACTCAACCTGAAGATGAACCGGTGTACATTATCACAGAGCTGATGGCGAAAGGAGCGCTGGTAGATTTTCTGCGTGGAGATGAAGGTCAGCAGTTGAGTTTGAGCGACCTGATTGATATGATGGCCCAGGTATGTCTTGTGGTGTTATTCTGTTGTTTTTTGTCTGTCTGTCTGTCTGTTTCATATGTGCACGATTCCAGCCTCCTGATCGCCATGTGATCTGAAGCATCACATGTTTAGTGTAGGGTTACACTCAAGGGATAGTCTCCTGTGGATAATGGGTCTTAGGTCCTGTTTCACACACTTCATATCTTGTTGTACTGTGACACTCGAACCCCCGGACCAATACTCATCGCGTTCAAAGTGCCACTGAGCAGAAGAGCATTTTTGTGGAGGTTGGCGTTCGAAATACTCTTATGGCTCTAAAGTGTGTCGGTGTGTTAGTGTTTATTGCACCTTTTCTCGATTAGAAAGGTGGGTTGTTTCTATTTTGAATAATATCTTGATTTTACTTAGCATGGACATGTGGCTAAAATCGATTTAGTGTTTCGTACGAAATTCTCTACCTTGAACTGACGCCCAACACAACGTATCCGTTGCGTGGCAGGTCATCCACACGTGGTTCAACCCAAAGTGCTTATGGATCAACGCATCAGTTTTTCCTGTCTTTTCTCAGCACATCCGCAGTCTGATGATGTTATGGCTTTTCGCTTGATTGATAGAATAGAAAAGGGTGAATTTCGGTCATTTAGGCCTTTGACAGCTAATAAACGTTCAGTTCTGAATTCTGTACCTTACTACTACTACTACTCGGCACCACGAAAATTTTAGAATGAAGGATGAATAACTTTCTTTCTCCTCACTCCTCAGATCGCCAGTGGCATGACATACCTAGAAGAGCGCAATTCCGTTCACCGAGATCTCAGGGCTGCCAACATCCTCGTGGATTCCGACAACTCTGTCAAGGTATCTGATTTCGGTCTTGCGAAGATAATCAGTGATGATGCTCAAGCAGACCACAGTAAGTTTCGTTTCATTTGATTCTATAACTATGTAAGAATGCTATCGGCCGATATTTTGAAAGCATTTTTAGATTCACTCACTCCTCATACCATAGGGCTGTCAATATTATGGTTTGGCAATGAAGCGAGAACCGGTAACAGAGTCCTTTGTTTGACCTCCATGCTATGTGATCACGACTCAGGCAGGGTATTTACAGCACTTGCACCTATGCTAGTAGCTGTGTATCTGGAATCTAAACCGTTTGATGTAAGTCGGACCGGATTCTTTACTACGGAACCAACGGATATACCAGAATCCATTCCCATTGTTACTTTGGTGTTCATCTGATTGTCTACCGATCGCGATCGGCTACATGAGTGCTGTGTACCTATTCTACCGCTGATTTTCAGTTTCCCGGGCACTTCTGAAAAATAGGCCGCTGTTTGACTGATGGTTTGATCAGAGCCACCAGACGATAACTCGCATATTGTGTTTGCCGGTTAAACACACAACCTGGTTTCGATGCTGATAACCGATCAACCAGGAAAATATTGCTCTAGTCTCATGAACAGCGCGGTTTGCGCGTCACAAAACGGATATAGATCATTATCCAGGTGTAAGAGTGATTTTGCTTCTTGTTGGGACCAGCAGACACCGAAATTCTTCACTCGGCTAAGCTTAAATGCATTGTGTTGGGTGGGATGTGCGTGCGGGCGTTTACACATTCAAGAGTCGTGATCAGTAGATTCACTGCAGTAAGCGAAGATGCATGTGGACAGTGTCTTGCATGATAATTTTCTGACAGCTGTCTTGAATTTGTGGGTATGGTACCTGAAATTGGCATATTGATACTGCTACCTAGATACGGATACCCAATGTACTGTGGAACCCCGCAATTTTTAAACAGGCTTGGGGAACCTGACAGTATCCCAGCCCTCGTGCTCCCTTTGGGTTGCATGGCAGCTAGGCACCGAAAGGGTGTTACAGCTGAATGATTATCTTTATTATTCATCTTATTAATTGAAATACCTACCCGTAATTAATAACGGAATCTCGTTCATCTAGCACAATCCCCAGTGCATTTGAAACACCTTGTTTTATAAAACATCTCCGAACCAGATCTTGAGCATAAAAGGTGACAGGTGTGAAAGTGGAAGGCTTTTCGTAAGAACTCGAAGGTATTTCGGTGCTGAAGTATACTGAGTAAAGACTATTGATCGTAGTGATCTGCAGGGGCCAAAAGCCCAGATGTTTTAAAGGGACGCACATGAAACGCACATTAGTGATCTACGAATTCGACAAGGGAGTTTGATATAAAGTCTTATTTTTTAAACAACGGCTCCGAAAATTAAACAATCAATTAATGATGCTGGATAACCGGAAAATCGCCTTGTTCTAAGAAGGTTGCCCGGTCCATCCGCGTTCATCGATGAGCAAAGTGGAGCTGATTTTCCTCTCTCCAAAGGCGATGTGAGGCCTGTAAGCTCTGGACGTTGGTATAATACAGGCGGTTAAGCTAGGCTATCGTTCACGACGGCTGCACCACATTACACAGCTCATCCTGGGTGTTGCATCAACATCAGCGATTTCCAGGCAGGTAATGTGCTGGTTTGTTTATAAACTTACTAGAGATATAAGTACACACTGGATACCCTAGGTACGACGAGTTACTCATTCATTTGGGTGATTGGTTCATTCCATTCTTGGCATCCGCAGTGGTAAGATTCCAGCTATCGTCCCGTGGGATGTTCGTCACTTCACCTATATCACCCACCTGTAAAATTATCTTATGGCAGTCCTGTTTTTTCGTGATATTCTGCCCCCTTTATGGTAACTAAAATATTTTAAAGGTGGCGTACATAGTTTTTGGAAACTACAGTGAGGCATTTTGATTACTACTGCAATCAAGTTCTCAACGGAGTCGTAGGCGATTTCTAGTTTTTTTTTCGGATGTGATGCGTATTCCGTCTTAATGTCTTCCGTCTCATGTTGTTTCCAACCCAAAAACCAGCCATAAGACAGTGATTCAGACGGATTCTGTATAGCATATGGAAGCAGGAGACTGGAGCACACCCAAGCCACCGGTGTGCTTTCAGGTTTGTACAATAGGATAACTGTAGACGATACCCAAAAGAGAAAACGAAGGTTGTGAATGACAGTGGACGCTGTTGTGGTCTCTTTGGGAAAGTAGACTATTTTCGGAGAGGTCTTGGAGCTACTGTAGCCCCCATTTGACTGAGACAGGCCGGTTACGTGAGTTGAAGTGTCCGGAACCGCCATGCCTTTTTTGGTTGGCTATTTGTCAAGAACTGTCAACTATGGCCTTGCCAGTTTTCTCCTGGTTCATCTGATCAGTTCGTTCAATTTCATTGTCTTTCGGAACAAACGCACAATTTAGTGTGCGCACGCACTCTGTTCCTGTGTGCACGAAATATAAACAATTTTCGAAAAAAAGGTATTTGTGTTAGAGTGGGAATGTATTGAAGCATTTTTTTAACTTCAAATCAATGTGTCGCTCCATGTAGTCATTGGTCAACTTCATCGACCTGAACCATTCGATGATTGCCTGCCGAATCTCGTGTGATTTCCTGTAGGGTATTTAGGCTTCGAAGACATGAGTTGATTTTTGCCTTTCTTTTGTGTTTACTGTTTCCAGCCAATTTTGTTCGATCGAGTTCTCACTCAACTTGTGCTCTTTTAATTCGTTTGACACTTTAGCCGTAAGCGGACAGTACTGTGAGATGGTTAATTATTTTCATTTCATCCTATCCCCCCTTTTGGGACGTGAAACTTTCATCTGTTAACAGTCCAGTGGATTAGGAACCGAAGAGCCGAAACCAATACGGGATTCGTATCACCGAGTAGTGGTGCTCACACGGAATCGAATAGTCCGACCATTGCCAAATTAAGGTTTGTAGCCAGCTACTCTGGTTGGGAATGTACGAAAGTTCTTTTGCACTTGACGGGTAACTTTGCTTGCATACCTCAAGGTTTGCAACGCTATGTGTTTGAATAATGATACACATAGTTGACTGGCTCCTTATACAGATTTGCCCAAGCATGACGACACTACACTCAATACCAGAGGCTCATTAAACCACTGGGTGCTGGTGCCGTCAGTTGCTTTACGTTTCAGTATAAAATCACACTTCCCCTGCACTATACCATGCAATCACATCCACTGGGGTGTGGCTATTGTGGTCTTTGGGGATGAATAGGCGGCGGGCACTATACTTCTGACCTTAGCTTAACAGTGGACGCTCAGCAACTGCGCTCAGCGCAAGCGCACTGCAATTTCGATTTTGCTTATACAGATGCGTCTGCAGTATGAGTAGCCCTGTACGTTTGCTGGTGTTGGTGCTTTGGTTGTGAGTCACCTACGAAGACATCGTGTAAATTCGAGTATTTAACAACCCTGACTCTCGAAATCGGGCATTAATGGTAAAGCCCAGTGGTGTTACAAAATCTCTCGGCAAGTTGATTACTAGATCAACATGGTCTAAAATTAACTTATCGAATCTCCATAAGAAATACTAAAGCACTAGAAACACTAGAGCAATCCCAAGGTGAGATTCTGTCCCCAGAGTTATGTGCTACTCGGCTATCTAGAAATACGACAATAGTTGGCGCCGTTAAAAAGGTGCATTGATGAAACCCTAATCCTCTCCTATAGGAGAGTGGATCTGTTCCTCATAGTTCAGCAAGTCCATAGATGATTACGTTTCCAGAGTGCTTGGTGTGTGTTTATGGCAGCATCGTGCAAGTGCTGCATACAAAATGAGACTTTCGCCCTGTTCACAACTTTCCGCTCGCCCTTCACCTGCAAACGTCTCTTAGGCCCTGTGTTGATTTACTTGCGTACTGCTATTTTCTCGCTTTCATCTTTCTGTAGGCACCAAATTTCCTATCAAGTGGACTGCACCGGAGGCTGCTCTGCAACATATATTCAGTATCAAATCAGACGTTTGGTCTTTTGGTGTCTTGATGTATGAAATTGTCACCTATGGTGGTACACCTTACCCTGGTAAGTTTGTCAGTTTCAACCGTATTCCGCACACCTTGGTATTCACCTCACTTTTTCACGCTTACCAACTCGTTATGATGTCTTGTCAATTTTAGACTCGGTTTGTACTGTGCTGTGCTGTTATGCAACAGAACTTGTCTATGAATTGTGACGACTCGGTTGTGTTTCAGCGTATCACACGCCATTCGTCGCATGCTTTTGTGAATGGTCGTCATTATTGATGTCATGTGTTCAGCTCCGGACTTGTAGACCTGTAGTGGGTGGTTAAATTTTCAAGTACCGTTCTATTCAACTAAATTTCGTGATTACACATACTTGATCATCCAAACGGAGTCTAGGGGGTCCGCATGTTGCGAGCCCGACACATCGACCGTTTCCCTGGCGTCTGTTTGCTGTTGGTTCTTATCTGATCCATCTTTTTTGAACGTTGGTTTTTTATTCACTTCATCCAGCCGTCCGACGTATTCCTGGAAGGAAGCTAGCATTGTCTCCAGTTTACTACAGACAGCAACTTTCTACTACAACAAACTTCGTGTATCACTGACCCATTCCATCATGACATTTTTCATAAGGTCGCTTGATAGTCTATCTTTTGCGCGAGTACCAGCGAAACGATCAAATACAGACTGACTTTTGGCATGCCACTTTTGAACCTTTGTGATTCATAGTAAAAAAACTCGCGATTTAAGACACTGCATGGGACATGTTAGTTCATGTAGACTGAAATTTTTTCTGCTTGATTTGCATAGGCTTTTCTAGCGTAACTGGTTAGGGAGTTGCAGAACGAACACGGTTCGATGAGGTTTTATTTATATGCTCAATAGAAAATTTCTTCAGAAGTTTCAATGTTTCAGCTCTTGTCGACCTTGGGATAGGACATATTCGGTTTGGAATCAGCTGGAAACTTCAAATTCAGGCGCCCTTTGAGGTCTCCATATTTCTCCGCGGAACGCATTCATTGTACTGCAGGGCCCCGGCATCCGTCCGTCAGAGTTGGTAGACAAGATCGTTTCACATGCACTTTAAGCATTGATTGCCTGCTTTTTTCGCTTTATTTGTGTGAGGAAAACCCTTTTCCTAGGAAGACAGTAAAAAACCCTTCCATCAGGCTTGCATGCCTTAAGAAACGAAAACAGACCAATAGGTCCCTAATCACCGTGGTTGCCGAAGAAAACTCGTAACTTTTCCCCCAGGAATTTGATGAGATTGCACTGCGAGTATATTACTCGAAACATCCGACTGTTGGATTTTATACTCGCCGCACAGTTCCCAGTGTTTTTGCTAGTACCACAACTTGTGACCAATATTAAACAGTTTGTAATCCAGTTGTTATGTGTTTTAATTCTCGCTGCATCCTTACGCTAACTAACCCTGAGTGTTTGTGAGATCACACCCCTTACACCCAGTCAGGTTAATCGATTTTTCCGAGCTACAAATGGAATATACCTGCCACTCCGCCTTTTAGACAAAAATTCCCAGGGTTTCACAGCTCAACCGTTGTTATTTATTTGGCCGCACTGTTTATGATCCCCTAGCCGAGCGGTTATGAATGCTCGTATTGCTTGCTTTCTGAACCGGTTCCGCAGGAGTTCATTCCACATGATTTAAATGTCTACCATGGGAATGATTTTTGTAAAGGGCGTGGTTTAAATTCTTCCACCTTGAGTTTTTGCTCTGGTTTTTATTGTCTCTGTTGCTTGATCGATTCGTAAGTTATGGGCACACAGAATTCTATCTAACGAGACGGTCGTTCGTTGTTGCCAATCAAGTGAGAGGGAGAGCTGTGATTCCGGTCCGGTTGTCAACCACTAGTCTGTTTGTTGTAGTGCTGCGTCTCCCTGCGTTTACTGTCATTCCGGGGTTATACCGCAACTAGGGTTTGTTGCGTTACCAAGGCCACTTCATTCGTTGCACATTATCGTACTGGTATATGAACCTTTTTTTCTTAATTACGTCGTTGAGTCTCGTATCCCTCTACCGTACTAGCCTCCTGGCTTCGGATACTGACTGGAATTGGTACTGACAGTCTAGGTATGCACCTATTCTCTTGTTCTGCCAGATTATGCTTACTCGTGGATTTCTATTGTGGAGGTTCAAACGTGACAGAATGTATCGACGAGACTTCCAAAAAATAATCTTTTTTGTACACCATGACTGCTGATGATCCGTTCAAACTACTTATAGTTCAAGACCCAGTAGTTCATAAATTATGCAAAAGATTATCAACCTCTTCACGTTTTATAAGATTTCCCACTTCTGATCTTTCCACTTTCGTCATCCCTTTTCCGCCGCTTTCAGGCAACCATTTTGGCAAATGAATGCATCTTCTTTATTCTGATTCCGGTAGTTCCATCATCATCGAAATCCGTCTGTTCTATTTGTTGGGTTGCACAGACACACATTCCACCCAAACGTTTTCTCTGAGTTTGTAGGTCCTTAATATAAAGACCGTAGAAGTATTTATGCCGCATTCTGCGCTAATGCCACCGCTTCTAAACTTTCTGTGGTCTGGGAGTGCTGAAAGCTAACGAATGATCGGTCCTAGGCAACAGTACGCGAGTCCCGCGCTCATAGGGTTGCCGTATTGCGCCACATCTTATTGACGACTTTGGTGTTTCTCGTTGTTCCAGCAACATATGATATAGATTGTCTTTTGTGTCGTTGGTTTTATGGGGATTTTAGCTGCCTTAATTGCTCAATCTGATTCACTAATGCATTCACTATATTAAACGTTACTACTCCGATGCTTGATACACTTCATTTTGGAACAATACGAACCCCTGATTGGTATTCCGAACCCCGTTATCAGAGAGCCAAATATCGGGAATCCTGTATTGCATACAACGACACCTCTTGCGCTTAATCAATGGTTTAACCATGGTGCAAGTCAGTTAGCCGATCTCAATAAACTACCTTAGTAGTCAACCACTGCATTCAGAAACATACACTGCCGCTTGTTTTCATGGGCGATTAGAGAATTTTTGTGCATTGTCGACAGTTATTCCCTACTTTACTTCGTGTGGACGATGTACCGGATGGTATTTTTTGAAACTTGATCCCTGATATGAAATCAATGCCTGGCATTCTTTTTGGTATGAACGCTTATAGGCGCACTTTTGAGTTCGTAAGACCGTTCTCCGCAAACACTTTGGCACTTAAGGGTTTTCTAACAGGATTGAGAGGTTCACGACCCGTAGTCACTACCGTCTCGCCAAACGTGTGTTGAATTGTTCAAGGTGGAACAGCATTGCTAGAGTTTCTTTTCGCATTTGCACGTATTTTTGTTCAGCTTCCGACAGACCGCGTCTTCTGTAGTCTGTTGACCTGCCTTGCTGAGGCACCGCAGTTTTCATACTGGATGAGCTACTATAGTATTGAATAAGTGGCTGTTGATATTGACCCTAATAGGCTGAAACAGGTGCTTCTGTAACAATCTGGTTTATCTGCTCACCTACTCTTCAGCCCATCTCAACAACATATCCTTGTGTATCACGAATCGGATGGTCCGCATTCTTCTGCTAGTTTGGGTTGCTCAGACCGAAGACTTCCTTGGTGTCATCTAGGTAGGCATCCCCGAACCTCACGAACAGTAACAAACTCAGTGTTATCTGGAATAGTTATTCAACAACAACGATTGATTAAACAGTATGGGTCAAATTCGAGTTCTGAAGAAGTTTTCCAAATATCACCTCAGGGTCAGCAGTACACATCAGGCCCGGAAGTTTGTTTGGCGCTGAAGTGAACTGTTTTGGAACGTCTCGCGATATTTCTTCATCGCTTTCGGAAGGTGCAGTAATTCAAGTCGACCAAAGGGTGTACCGAACGTGTTAAAGTATCCCGATTAGTGATCTCGTCTCAGTTGCTAGCAGGCGAACAAACTATCTAGGTCGGTGGATAGCTTTGCCTGAGATAGTATATTGAGTCTGTAGTGTACATGACAGAACTCGATAACTGAGGATAACTGAGGACAAAGTCCCGATTTACGTTTTTTCTGATCTACTACTATTTATTTTACCTAATTTGTCGATTCACCAACTGCCGAAATGATGCTTGGCGTTGTTAGGTGATTCAGCTCCATATTCAAAATTTCAACCAGCGGTATTGCATTCCCAGGCCATACTGGGGGGTCTGTCCCATCTACGGCAAGCTAATTTATCATGGTAAGCAATTCTACTCAACAGAAAAAGCACCCTTGTTTCTCAAAGGTGGGTGCAAAGTACGGACAGAATTGTCACGAACGTGGGCAATGAATTCCACTTCAGTTGCTGGAAAACGGAGACTTGGTATGAGGTCTGCATTGGTGATCAAGAATTATAGTCTGTGTTTTTTTCATATTCAGCCATGTTCTTCTCATGACCGTAGAACCCCTGCCGTTCCACATTCGTAGATTGGATCCAAAGTGATAGCGGCAGATTTTGGGTTTGGTAGTTACGATGGTGTTCCTGAGGGTACCCAAGTCGGGCTGAAGTAGGCATGGTTTACTTCGACGTGCAGGTTAGCGTAGATTCTCGCTGGATGGCCGTTTCTTACTCTGTTAATCTCGCTGATCCCACCTCAACCAGTTTCACAGCAGTTGGTCGCCAGTTACTTTCCACGTTTGTGACTTCTGTCGAGCAGACGAACGTAAAGCTTGTGGGAGTTCATCAACATCGATTCGTTCAACTTTAGTCAATCAGTCTTAAGCCTATCAAATCTCTAGTTCGTCATATCTGCAGTTCGTATTCGCCAGCCCAGTAAGTCAGGCTGTGTATATGAGTTCTTGCTGTTCTCTTTGAGGATTCACTGCTTAACCTCCAACGACGATCTGCGCTCAGGCTATTGGTGTGTCGCATCAGCCACTTAAATGAAAGTCCGTAAATATGGGCGAGAGTCTGTCCTATTCCCGGCCACAAACTAAAAGTGGTTAGATAAACCCGCGGATTTTCGATTGCCTGATAGATTGAATGAACCTTGATATGACAATTCTATCCTTGTTCGCTAGTCCGCACACCCGGTGTCCGATATCACAGTCATTCCTTGGCTTATCTACCCTCGCTTCTTAGCCAAAAATTATCTGCCTTGCCGACTTCACTCAAACTATCTGGTGGCCCTGGAGCCTTAGCATGGATTTTCTTCCCTATTATTATGATCATTGTTGGTACCCTGTTATCAGAAAAAAGTGCATTATCCCCAGGAGTCCACAGCTTTATATAGAATCATCTACCCACTGTGCACTTCCTCTTGGACGTTCCACTGGAAGAAACTTGCGTAGGAGCACGGATAGGGTGGAATTTCCAAATTGTCGGGCCGTGCAGTGGTGTTATTAATAAATCTGTCGCAACACGCACATGTGTAAACCCGTACGCTTCACTCTTGGGTGATTTGATGCACAATAAAACGAGCAATCCATACGATGCGCAAGGATGATACCACGGACATTCTTAGTCACACATAGGTCAGATGTAGTACTGTCGATTTCCCAGGATTTTCGGCATGCATTTAAAGGTTTTTACTATCGATGCTGGATCAATCGTCACCAACTGAGGTCACATTTTCAGTGTAAGGCATCCGCAACATCGTCAGAGTGTTGATTTCCCCAGCACTCAGTAATATTCCGGTTGATTTTCTATGATAGACTGGAAATCCAAACCAGTAGACCTGACCAGTTTGGAAAGATACTGCTGAAACACCAATGAGGCATTTAACCTAAGGTGCTTTATGACTTCCCAATATTTATGCCCGAAGGCACCAACAAGCTCATTGGAATCGCATAGTTTACATTGTTGTCTCTATGCCTCACATTTCCATGCGTTGATTCACACACTTTCGCAAAGCACTGAATTGCCTTCTCTTCTCCGTTCGGGTCGCTTCTTTGCGGTGCATATCGTCAGCCTTGGAAGCGCCAAAAATGAGACCTCTCGCTATCCGTTCTTCAGGGTCTTTCCTGGGAATTTGTTGTGGTGGATGAACTGATGATGGATCGCAAGTGGATGAATTCACTGAGAACGCAAGTCGCTCCTGGCCCTCTTGGGTAAAGTGGTGACCGTGTGCACGATTAATTAATATGATTTAGTCGGTCCATCATTGTTAGCCTAGGCAGCTCAACCCACCAAATGTGATCTATTCGTGAAAAAAACTAGTATTGGGGCGATTTCGTTACGAACATCAGTCATTCAGATGGTGTAAGGAGTGGAAAGGAGGAAATTTGGAACTGAAACCAAAATGGCATGTCACTTGGGCAGCTATGGTGCCACGAGCATCTGTTGGGCAGTTGTATCCGTGTTCAGGCGAGCTACTTCACATGCGTTCACTATTTCACCACAGTTCTTGAGACCGAAATTCCATAAGCAATCCCAGACACACTTGGAATTCTGAGTCAAGTGCAATAGTAGAAACCCTGTGAGTAGTTCCTGGCGATGACGTTCCATCTTCTTGGTAAACGATGGATGATTGGCTCCGTTCGTCCACACGCCAGACAAACTTCAGATGAAAGTGGAATTATAGTGTTTACAATACTCTGAAGGGTATCAATCTAGCCTCAGAGTTACTCCAAAGAGTTTAAGCCGTTCTTCGAATTGAGGCACTCGTTACTGACAGAATCTAGTAAGATCCCATGATCGAGAAAAGGTTGTTATCTCCTGAAAATGCCTTACGTGAAATAGTATACCGCAACTTCTATTCGTTGTTTTGGGTTGGTGCGAAAGGGGTAACATGGATTTCTATAAAAGCTCTGTCCTTTTATGCCGTCACATCCGTTGATCGCCACCTTTAAAAAGTAGAATGTAACCATGGTGAACTGTTAGCTGTAGGTGGTTGGTGTAGATTCGCCAGAATTATTGTGTCAGGATATAAAGAGGAATGTTCAAACGAAAGTGATGTGAATGAAAGTGAACTGTATCAGATTGTCCATAGTCAACCTACGTGCTCCAGCAGACGTGAGCGAGCGACAACATGACATCAGTGTTCAACACCGATGCTTCAATACCGTACAACCATGACTTATTTGAAAGCCTTATTATAAAGAAAAGAATAAAGGTGGATGGGGGAGGGACTTAGTGCTAGCTTAACACAAGCATACCGAGGTGTCTAGACCTCCAGACATCCACTCAGGCAATCTGGACGGAAACTGACAAAAGAAACTAACAAGAACGCCACTGACATCGGTTGGCAGTCACATCTCGTAGTGTCTCCAACCAGGCACACTGAGGATCACGCGGTCCCCATCCTGGAAGGCGAGTAGGACCAACTGCACCCAAGCGTTTCGTGATCTCCTTCATACTCCTCTGCCAAGTCAAGTGTTGGCTACCTCTCTGTTTACGCCACTCTGAGTTGGGCATGGAAAACAGCACTCTCTTCGGCATACGTAACACATGTCCCAACCAACGCAGCTTCTGGTGCTGGACACATTCTTCAATGGAAGTACCCGTTACACAACCGAAAACACGCTTTCTAACTGCCTCGTTACGGATTCGCCGACACCAACCCACACGAGCTATGGTTCTGAGACAACGATTGTCGAACACCTGAAGACGTCTCAGGTCCGCTGCTCGAATAGGCCAAGTCTCACAGCCATACAACAAAACAGCCCGTACTGTAGCTTGATACACACGTCCCTTCAGATTCAGGGATAAACCATTCTGACGCCATAGGTGTCTCGAATTTGCAAACGCGGCCCGAGCCTTGCAGATTCGTGCATTCACCTCATCCGTCACACTACAGTCAGAACTAATACAACTTCCAAGATACGTAAAACGCTCCACAACTTGTAGTACCTCTCCCTGGATTGTAAGGGTCGTGTTCAGTGATTGCATGTCCACAAGCATGACCTTACACTTTGTAGGTGCAAAGTGCATACCAAATGACGGGATGACTTTGGTCAGTCCATCCAAGAATACTTGCGCCTTCTCCTCCTCTTCGAACATGAGAACGATGTCGTCTGCATATTCCAGATCGACAAGGTTGTCTTCACAGGCTATTTGAACACCAGGGTTTTGGAGACCCTCCAGCGTTCGTCTAGGTGTGGGCGCCCTGGCAGTATCCCAGCCCACGTACAAACATGAATTGCATGTACACAATAAACTCATGCCACATGAGCGAGCGGATGATTACGATTCGCCACTTCAATCACGAACAGACCAGCGGTTTAATCCTCTAAGCTGGAATATCGTTGCATATCCGGATAACATGAAACAATTCAGCAAAGCAACCGCAAGCTGTGGGTTGTGAAATAAGGCGCTAGGTTATTTGAGATAAAGGCATAAGTTGGCATATTGTGTTTCGAAGGAGGTGGTGGATTGGTCTCACTATTCCTAATGACTGAACCAGTCATTTCCGTTCACATAGTTTTGTTTATCATACTCTTATCAACGTGGCTTCGCACAAGCAGTTTCCTCTCCTAGCGTGTCACAATAGGATGAAAGCGCGAACAAAGTCAACCAGTTGAATTTTCTCAGGGATTTGCTTTACAGTCGTGTCATGTTTTTCGGTTCAAATATTGTGGCGTTAACCCACTGCGCTGCAAACCTTGTTCAGAGATTCCTAGGGAAAGACGATTATTAATTCTACAGCTTCTAGCGGATTAATAAGTGATTATGTAAGGCGGGATGGTATAATCCTGGTATCTATTTGTACCGTGGCTTAACGGGTTATAGAAAGGCCGTACTGAAGTTTCTGTTTTACGCTGATTGATGTATGGTCACCCTCCTGTGGTACTCCTATTCTGCATCATGGCTGAAGTGAGGGAGATCTAAAAAAATGAGCTTTTCTTCAACACTGAATCATTATCCCTACATCTCTCTTCGTTAAAAATGCTGACTATGTTGAATGGTTTTCGACAGTCGGCTAATCACTTGAATGGCTTCGCAAACGCAAAGGCACAGTTTCGACGATAAGGTGGACCTCGTTACAGAGTTTCATTGCACGCGTTTTCCGAGTCTTGTTTCCTAACAGAGGATATGGAGGCGTGCCTAGTTGTGAACCGAACTGTCCCGCGGTGAAAAATTTACGGGACTTACGGAAAAAGTTGGATGGTTTTCAATACTGTTGCGCGTGACTTCACTGTTCGCATCCATGATGTGGGCACTGATGATGCATATACGAACCAGGTGGGCAACGGTCACTTACGTCAATCTTCGCCACTCTTTTGTTTCCACAGTTAAGTGTTGACCCGCTGGATTGATATGTGATAGAGACGTTTATGTTCGCTCTAATCCGCATCTATTGTTATTCCGGTTTCCAGGTATGAGCACGCGTCAGACCATTGTGGAAGTAGACAAAGGTTACCGACTCCCCAATCCACACACGGCGAACCACCCATGTCCAGACGATCTGTACAATATTATGCTCAAGTGCTGGGACGTGCGACCGGAAAATCGACCCACCTTCCGATCTCTGTACGACGTCTTCGACAATTGGGCTAGCCATGTAGAAACTCAATATTTTGACAATTAGGATGTGAAAATGACTTTCGGATTTATACGTACTAAAAATAATCATAATCTATTGAAGTAACATTCGCTAGAGACTGTTCACCCCACCTCTAGCCCGAAACCATATGTGTATCCACGGTTGCTTTCCATGCCCACTCCTCGCCTCCGGTGAACACATCGTTCCAATCCTGCTTCAGGGTGTAAATATGTTCAATTCTGTTTACTGTACTCGTTGCTGCCTATTAACCTTTTTGGAGAGTTTGCGGTCGATCCTTCTCTGAATGTTCTCACTGATCCCCGACATCCGTGTGTTTACTTATCTCTGACTTTTTTCTACTTCCATGTTCCTCTCATAATCTTCAAACATCCTCTTTTACACGAGTCTAGTATGTATATTGCGCCGGTCTCTTGCGCGTTTCTCCTAATGCTCAAAGGTTACATGCATTGGGTGGACTCACCACCGTTCCTAAGCCACAATATATTTTCCAATGTTACTTGTTTTCGACCTAGACAGCAAACCACCAACCATACCCTTCATCTCATTGTTGTACTTCCCTTACGCAACTATGGATAATCTGCTAAACCCTTGATTCGCATTTCAATGGACCTACTGCAACACTCAACCATATTCTGTACTAAGCCAGCGTATCATCGCACAATGTTTTTTTTCTCTCTTGGTCGCTTACCCCTCCTTTCATGTAGCTATGCTACCTACCTTGTATGTTCCAATGGTGCTCAATTATGCTTGTACGAATTATTCGTCACGCCAATATGAACCCGTCCGATTTACCTTCTAGTGTACTCGGTTAACTTTTTGTAAGTCCAACTCAGGCTCTACACCACTGTTGTTGTCAGTAGGTGGAATAAGGTTATTCCACAGGCTCTATGATTTTTAGGCACCCAGCTAATCTATAGCCCCTGTCGCTACGAATGGTTGCTCACTGATTCCACGTCCCTCCTCAGATGAAATGTTTGATTAGTCTCGCTGAGGTTGAAAGTCTCGTTCTGCTGTAACACGCTTCCGGTTGCTAGCTATCGCCCTACCCGAATGAAGCACGGAGGCAGAGATACTGTCAGTTTGACTAAGCCTAGACAGGAACAGCCAAGATGCCGGGGTTGGGGTCGAATCACGACCCTACCGGTAAATAATTTCGCGTTTGAACGACTGAGCTCCCTCAATCTCAAATTTGGACATAGTATCACTTGTCGCCGGTAATTTGTCTTGAGTCAGTTCAATCATCTGCTACACTTTGGATACAGGAAGTCAGTCCTAACGTACATCATCTAACTGACGATCATGTAGTGGGATGTGTTGTCGGAGTTTCTTTCTAAGGAGGTTGCTATGGGCCCACAAATCTAGGGCTAAGATCATCTGAGCGGGGGCACTGTTTACGTAATCCCGATATTGTGTTGGTCATTTTTTCGTTATTTTCTACTGGAATATCGATATACTTCTTAAACCCTAGGGTAGACTAACAGTGGGGCATCCTGGCGATATCACTAGAGAACAAAAGGATCCGGGTTTTGCCTTGGTAACACAGGTGTGACGACGTTCTGCGTCTGATAATGCGAATTCTACGTTAATGTTGAGAGCCGGGAGGTCGAAGTTTCAGTTCCCAAAGACACGAAAGTAGGTCAACGACCAGGGAATGTGATGTGAACGATGCAAATGAGATTTGAATAGTTTAATGCAGCCTAGTGACGGAGTTGGCGCTGTGATGCGCCAGAAGTTGAAGCTTTTTCTCTGGCCAATCATCTGCCTTAGGTACGCACTACCTCTTGTTCTCTTGGTACAGGCATTCCTTTGAAACTTATTGGGTGTTTTAGTGTTGTCCACAGGTTTCCGCGTTCTTATTTTTCGACGTTCCTCGACACTGTCAAACTTGACTTGTACGATGCGTTAGACTGAAAAATCGTAGACCGGATATGAGGTATTTCTAGACATTTTTGGTTAGTCTGAACTATCCGAACTGAACTAGTCCAGTAGTTAATACGCAGTGCAATTTATATGCACAGCGTAGATGCGAAACCCATGCGTACTCCCAAAACAGGTTCAACGTAATCTGGAGGATGTGGCGATTTTCGGGAAGCACGTATACTTTACATGCGTCCTTTTCATGACCGACTAGTCTTGTGTGTTTAGTTGCATGGTTGACTTCGGTTGCATCCGGAGACGGCCGATCTGTCCGATGGACATGATCTGGTAGTTTTTCTCAATCAGCACACGAGCATTGAGTTTACCCAGCATAATCCAACCCTTGACACCGTTGTGAATATTCTGTGTTCTCCTTTGTGACATTCTGATGACCTTCAGCCTTTGCGGTTTGACCTTGGGGTGAAGGTATTTAATCGGACCCAAGGTGTGCCTTCGCTGACACCAGAAATACTTTCATTCGAGTCCCGCTCCCGATAATTGGGAGCATGGACAAGCGGATGACCACCATTAACCGCTCGTAGTACACATCAAAGTCTGATTGTTCTCAACCAAAGCTGTTCACCCAGCTTTTGGGAGGCTTAATTAATTTCTAGTCATCTTCATGAATGGAACACTGCTGTGACCAACTGAAAGTGATTATATGAGTGCATTCCAGACGCTGCTAGAGATATCGGCTGGACACAAGAACCCTTTGTCAAACCTAATGACCAGGAGTCCTCTGTGTTAGACGCCAAATAGGTTTTCACCTTCTTGATCGTATGCACTCCAATCGGTATTGCGTCCTGTAGCTGGAGTTGATCTGTACTGAAAAGCCAGGCAACACAACACAGCTATTCCATTGAGAACCATCCTTAGTTCATATCTCACAAATTCCCGCCGATAAGAATTCCAAACTTTGACCAATCACATCAAATAGTTCAGTTTAGGCTGAGTGACTGTAAGGTGCTGACTTCTATCTTCCACAATGAGAAACAGTTTGGACCGAAACATTTGCATGGGTTTTTTCATAAAGGAAACTACTCACAAGTTTGCTGAAAACTCTTTGACAGCCCACGACCGGTTTCGCCCTTCTTGGGGCTCATCAGGTAGGCGCAGTCCCCGAGTTTCCGTCAACCTTATGATCTATTTGAATAGCGTTAGTTGTTCAGAGGATCTGACCTTGGTGTTGTACCTACGTTTATGCTCATTCATTAACTTCCGTCAACCTATGATCTATTTGAATAGCGTTAGTTGTTCAGAGGATCTGACCTTGGTGTTGTACCTACGTTTATGCTCATTCATTAACTCCAGTCAACGGGTTGTGAACATGTATGAACTGAAGCCTGAATCAACCAACTACCTCGCGTGCTGTCAGTAATTTGTTCGTAATCAAACTCCAAACTCTGCGCCTACCCGATTTATCATTGAAGGAAGAAAGCTGATTAGTCACCGGGTTTCCAACCTAACCGATCCGGAATCACTAGTGATCGCATGTGTTCACCGTGTGTTATATGCACACACATTCGAACATGACCACGCGCGCGTTAATCCGTAGGTGCATGTGTAGGCAGCCGTTGTGCAATCATCACAGTCATATGTTTATGGTTTTTTCCAGTTTTGTCGACGGCGACAACCATGCCATTGGGCAAATCGTAGATTGTGTGCATACGAGTTGCGCCGATCGTACTTCTACGTGTTGCGCTTGTGTATGATTCAACGTGGTGAACTGAGGGCAAGGGAAGTCGGAACTACGGGGTCGATACTGCGCAGTTAGCAACAATGTGATACTGATTTTTCCAACCACAATACATGTATAGGACTCCAGTCTAAGTTCAATGAACGGAAAAAAAACGTGGCACAGTGGACTTTAGCTTTGGTCTGCAATAGGACCCATCGAGCTTTGCTCTTATCCCGAATGTCCGAGTCTCTGTTGGAAACACTTACAAAAGTGGCATTTTTGTTTATCGTTCCAACGGTGTATGACATCAGTCATCTAGACTCCAGTCAGGCAACCTCGATCTCGAAATTGAAGGAAGTTTTGGTGCCACAAAAAATTATCTATCGAGTGGAGCACAAAAAATGAACACAGACATTCTTCATAAGTGGCCGTTTGGTCACCTCTTTAGACAGCTTGAAGAAACAGTAAATTTCAGAGTTCTGCGCAGTCTATGTCACAGAGAATTGCTGTGTGCTATCTCAGAAGATAGCCCATTTGTCTTCCCTTTATTGTTTCACGTACCACTTTGGAAATCCTTTGGAAGCCGTGGGCACCCATAGATACACATTCCCTTTCATGAGGACAAGTGCACAGGTTTCATAGGTCTTCTGTAGCGTTTACACATACTGCTCACCCGGAAATGGTCATACATGAACATCAAGAAATCTGAATCTGTCACACATTAAGTTTAGCATGGAAATAGAGTCCACCTCAGGCACATTACCCTTTCTGGACTGTATAACACATAAGGTTGGTGGGAAATTGAAAATGACTATCTACCAGAAACCAACAGACACAGGAACCGTCTTAAGCTATTCATCAGCACACACAAAGTCCATGTACGCCAGTATTGTCTCATCGATGTTTCATCGAGTCAAAGCGCTGTGCACAGAAGAGATCGACCGAACGGCAGCTCAAATCGAGATTGCCACCAAACTTCAAAAAATAAGATACCCAGTGAGTTTGATAAGGCGTCAACTAAGAAGGATATTGGTTCCAGTATCTAAACCCAGTAAGGAATGGATTGGCACAGCAGTCATTCCATATAAAGCAGGAACATCGGAGGTTATTCGAAGACGGCTGAACTTAGCCAACATTTGAGGAGCTTTTCAGAAGGTAGAAACGCTACGCTCAGTTTTGGTACAATTGAAAGATCCCCTGCAGGTTGAAAGGACTAGGGACTGTGTGTATAAAATTAACTGCAACGATTACGTTAAGGTTTATATAGGACAAACTGCCAGGGAATTGCACACCAGAATTGATGAGCATAAAAGAAGGATAAACAAACCACCAAGGAATGCAGAATACCAAACGCTGGTCAAAGACTCAGCGATGGTGGTATATTCCTTAGACACGGAACATAGAATAGATGTGGAGAATGTGGAAGTTTTAAGACAGAGACTTCGATTCACACCACAGCGGCAGATAGCCGAGTCGATGGAAATTACTAAGCATCACAGCGTGAATAGAATCGAGGGTGTGGAGCTAGCGAGCGTATGGAAAGCAGTCTTAGATAAGCCGAGTTGACACGTGACCGTGTGGTTGTCAATTCACTTAGGATCATTAGAAAAAAACTGGGGGGTGGGGGTGGAAACCCCAACCGACCAAAAGTCACAGCATCCCTCTTACACAACTTTCTTAGCACTAGCTCACCCACACAGACTGACAGAAGGTTCAAACAAGTTCAAGAGGAACCATCAAATGAACCGAACCAGATGAACTAGACCCTAGGCAGGACCCAAACACATGTAGGTTTCCCACCGACCCAACACTTGTTCAACCACTAACACACTAAAATCCCTCGGCCGACACCCAACAGAGATTTAGCTTGACTTAGCTGATTGGTTGTCCTTCCGCCTTAAATCTCGACCAACCTCGGAACCTAGTCACTTGGCCTGACGAAGTTTTGTGTCAAAAGCGAAACGTTGCCCAGCAATAAATCTACCGATTGTCACCAAACGTTTTCGAAAACGTTGTCATAAAGCCCCCTGTTACGTATAATTATTCGGAATGAGTAAAATGCGGACGGCTACCACGTAGGATAGGTTAATTTTACGTGGATATAAATCAAGCATCCCTTCTGTAGGTTTGAGGTGTCTCAACGCGGGAGATATAAGTACTCAGATATGAACAAGCAGATGATACTCCATCTCAGTTCCCTTATTTATAAAACCTCGTCAGTATCAACCACAGTACCCTTTTAGTAACATTGGTGTTTCCCCCTTTTACTGCAGGGTAACACGATGCAGCCGCTTGAATCTTACTTTTTACGTACCAAAAATACACAATCGAACACTGCAGGTTACACACATTTTTATGCGTGTATCCAATATTTGTATCATTAATACTTCTGACATACCGATCGCTAGCTGCTGCGTTTCGGCAGACTCTTGACAGTTCCGCTCTAGTGGTTCGTACCGGCGGCACGCAGAACAAACTACTTGTTTTCTTTACCAATACTCCAGCTGTAACACCCTTCCGGTACCTAGCTGCCATGTCACCGGAAGGAAGCACGAGGGCTGGGATACAGCCAGGTTGCTCAACCCTAGATAGGGGAAGTCAAGACGCAGAAGTCGGGTTCGAAGCACGGACCTTCCGGTCAGTAGATTCGCGCATGAACCACTTTAGTAATCTTGCCCCGGTATGCTATTCAGAATCTTCTCTGCAATAGGTATTCAATTGAGGGAATTTATTGTGGCCGTAATCCTTTTACTTGGAATCGGGATAAGAATTAGGGTCATATTAACCGGGATTCCGTAGTACTAATACTGTACTCTTTGGCTTTTCGAATATGCTATCTGGTTTTGAGATCTCAAAACTACTCCATTGAGAGACATTGCAGACATACACGTAAGTGAGAGAGGTTCGTCGGATTTGGTTGGAGGACTTGTTCCGAATAGCCTCCTCTATTCAACACCTTAATCTGGTAAAAATTGGGCCGATTTGGCATTTTACTTGCTGGTGTTTCGCTAGACATACTTAGCCGCAATTTCTATGTGCGGCTATAAGTAAGACATTCGGCTAGTGATGTATATCTGTCACTTCGTTCTTTCGTTTTGGCGATGTAGTGTTAGCCGAGCATCCGCAGGGGAAACGCGCACGAACCGCTCGAACATTACGTAAGCGTAAGAAGAAGGCCGATCTCAGAATGGACTGAATTCAACTGTTTCACCAACTATTCACATAGAGGCTTTTCTGAGGTTGAGCCTAACTCAATCTACTCTTTGATCGTGCCCTGTTCTTATGGACAGGGAATATTGCTTATTCACTGCAAGTCAGCCAACGAATGTGCCAGTTATTCAGACGGAAGACTAGTTTAACAAGTTATTTCCTTTTCAATCGATTGTAAAATGTTTGGAACTGATTGAGAAGTCATCGTTTCAGAAGAGATTGGTAAAACACCACCGATTGTTTACCAAACTCTTCTGGAAAATGTTTGGACTGATTGAGAAGTCATCGTTTCAGAAGAGATTGGTAAAACACCACCGATTGTTTACCAAACTCTTCTGGAAAATTATTTCCTTATTTTGGATTTGTTCGTACTAGCCTTTGTCGTACGGCTGACTATTCTAGCTAACCTAATTAATTAACCTGATCTATTGAACTGCATGGTCTCTGTGATAAACAAGACTCGGTCCCAAAGAGGTGTCCATGTGTCAGACATTCATGGGCCGAATGAAGTTTGTTTGCCCTCAGCATGAAACTGATGGGCTAGAGCACAAGTGGAGTAAACTACATTAGACTTTGTCTATTATTAGGTTCACGGACTGTTCACTGGCTGCCCACATTATGGTGTACTTCAAACGATATTGAGAGGAGTTTAGTTCTTCAGAGGTCTTCACCTGATGTTCATAGAAAAATGGGAATGGAAGCATCAGTTCACTCGAACTAGGTGTTCGGTTGGGACTTACTAAACTGTTCGCAGTACGTTCAATTATTGGTAACTCACGTGAGTTTATCGGCTGTTCATCAGGTAGCAGTTGATCACCAGCCCATACTGGGTGGTTTTTCGGCAAGGTTCTGTGATCACAATCAGATTTCGATTAATTCGCCTTAAGGAACTAAACTTATAGCTGTGGAGCACAAACATGAACCTCACATTATACTTTCCAACGTTTCCTGGAGGCTAAATAGTCCGTGAAATGCAGTTGTTTTGTCGCACATATATTTTCTGCATTGAGAATACATGAGAGTATGTTAAAATTCTGTGCGTAGTTCCGAATTGCCAGGGCTACCGGGTGATTGCTTCGCCCTATATCCTCACCTTTATAGCGCAAAAGGTCAAGTTCACATGAAGTGGTGTTGAGAGTCGTTGTGATCTGCTTCGAAACGGTCGAAACTCACGCAGAGAGCTGCTCCTGACGAGCGATAATTCAAGAACTGAACATTGATTTACGCGATTATGTACTCCATGAAAGGTCGTATGCGGGTAGAAAAAATCGATCGGTGTAGATGCCACAATACATGTGCAGTTTCGCGTACGATAGGTTGCAGGCAGTGTCCACTCGCTACGTGCATATTTTTCTCAATGGTTCGCCTACTTATTAGTAGCTTATTGCACTGCGTTGCGATGACACAAAAACCTAAATCAAACGCTATGCACTGAGGTGAATTTTCAGCAGCTATGTGTACAGCTATGTCACATGTAAATGATAAAAATAATTCTATGTAAATGATTCTAATTATCAAATAACATAAGCGACAAGCAGATAAGTGACAAATCATAGTGGAACGGTAAAAATAAGAATGTCATTAGATCATTCAAATTACCTACTAAAGAAGGCTTTACATAGGTAGGTGAGACAGCGAGAGTATTCAGGATATGCGTCCGGTAAAGGATTACCCTAAATGGAAGGCATGATGGGTTACCATTTCCGCTAGATCAAATGCGTAACTACTGAAGGGGAAAAACCATATTCGAGGGATGGTAGTGAGAGAAAGAAGCGGTCGCTAGCTCTTCTACTGCCTGACCGGGCTTTGTTCAGCTCCGGTCTTCATGAAGTCGTTCTTCGTCAACGCTGTTAAAAGCATGATTGCAGTCATTGGCAGAAGGTCCACAGTACTAGCTTTTTCATCTTCTGCTGAAGTGACGGAGCGAGCTAAGTACACAACGGCGTCTGTTTTAGAGCCAGACTGAAAATTTTCAGACTGACGTTCAACCTGCCACAACAGGATGCACCGTGTAGGGTTCGGTAGCGCGCGTTCATATAGCCACCTGATTCCCTTTGGCGTGCCTGGCGTGGTTGCATCTTGTTGAACGGACTCCCAGCCAATGCAACCCGCGGGATCATTGCAACAATCAAGCCCTACCACAAAGTCAAGGTGGCAGGTTTAGGCCAGGTAGCAATGGAAATTCCGGAACAATCCCTATATGACTTACTTTGGAGTGGGACACAATCACGTCATGCGTCACCCCAAGGGGAATGTTCTGATGAAACAACGTGAGGGCTCAAAACGCAACCAACCCAGCTTTTCACTGAGTGGCAAACATTGCCGTTTGAATACACTACTGAAACGAGGCTTTTTCGAAGACAGTCCGATCGATGTTCACCGTTTTAGAGCAGCAAACAACCCCATTTCAAAGTTACGACGTAGTAAGGCTGCGTCGTATGCTGAACGTATTTATACGTCCCGCAGATTCAGATGGGGACAAAAGGTTAGTAGATTCGATGACTTCAAGCGATACAACAGAAATCAGATTATAACCAGACGATATGGGTACATTTTCACGTTTGGTTGATCTGTTATACCGACTGATTGCTATTTACATCCTAGCAGAAAAAATTAGCTTGTTAGTAACGGGCGGTTTAGATAGTACAAAGCAAAAACATCCGTTCGCAGAAACCCTAGTTGTTATGTTGACTATTTTCGTTGTCCATCATTCGACGGGACTCTTCGTTCACCATGCGGTGTATAAAAGTGTCACGAACCCGATGGCCTAACAAGTCGATAGCAGCGAAAGAATGGTCAGTCTCGCCGTTAGAAGATTATACAGCATATATGCGATCACTTAAAACCAGTAGCAATGTATCACAGCTGCATCTGACGAGTGAGCACATGACCGAAACTTTCGGTGTAAGGAAAACCTACGGATAATAACTGCTCAGCTGTAATTTCTTTTGGTTTCCTAGAAGATCCCCAGAAAGAAACGAGGGAAAAGATACTCCCAGGTTGCCCAAGCCTGCATAGGAGTAAACGGGATACCAAGGTTCGGTTCGAACCATGGACAGTTCGGTCAGCAAACCGGTACCTTAGCCACTGAGTCATCTCGAACTCAAAAGATGTGCGAGAGCGTATGGTCACCCATCTGCACATGTTTATGCGCCAAACTCCGAAAGATGTTCACACTTTCCCGGCTTACTTGTCCAAAACATCCCAACTAATCAGAAATGAGATTATTAAACGGTTCACACGCTCTTCCTAAGCTATCCGAAGATCATAAGGGAATCCTGAGGCAATGCGTTTTGGCGAAATACGATAGAACGAATGAATTTATGAAATAAGTTACATAAACATGTGAAGTTAAAGGAGCTAACTTTGAAATCCCGCCTTTTCAGTTTACTTCAGGAAACTGGGATTTTTAACAAAAGTTTTTTTCAATCCAAGCCTGAACACGCTGATATGTTTGACATTTGGGTGGAAAAGCAATTATTTGTTCCGAAAGGGATCATATTGTATGAGAAGCAATTAGAAGAACGTATATGTTACTTGTGTAGTGCGCCCCAAATAGCCAGCAACGGAAAAAAAGCTATATGGAATACGGCAAGATAAAGTAGCTTTGGAGTGAACACTGTCCAGATAAACAAATGCGACTGGAGAACGTAACATACGGTAGCACAAAACGTGATGGGCAGAAGGACAAAGCCTAGGCGAAAGCAGGCAAGCGATGTGGTCACATGGCGTTCAAGATCACCAGGTAATGAGAAGCGAGTCAAGTACGCCATTTGCCAGAACAACGGACCGGCGTAGGTGTACAGAGTGAGAAGGACACCGGCAATTGTTGGCTGGTGCGTACGGAGACCAACATAAGCGGCAGAAACATCCACAGTAGCCAGGCTGAGGGAATTTCCCTGGAGTGAAAAAAGGAATAACCAATTATTAGTACGGAGGAGCGGATACACAAAATCCGACGCTGTGAAACACATGATTCGAGCAGTCACTATGAGGTTACCTCAAATAGTACTGCATCCACTTCAGAACCCATCTTGTTTGCAGGGAAATTTCTTTTCGGAATAACTCCAACCAAATTATTAGGTTCAGCGAACGGGGCCATTCATTAAAATCCAGTCACCAACGTTACCCTCCACCGTAAACCTTATCTGGTATACTACGCTCAAACAAGCTCGAAGCTGGGTAAACTTCGTCCGCCGGCAAGCCTACAAGCGTGAACTACTGCGAGGCACCCACGAATGCCCAGTGAGAAATGGCCTTCTTTAAAGTACTAGCCACAGACCAGCATTTGACCATCCGGATACCTGAGGAACTAGGTAGACAAATGGACGGATTTATTAGGACAGACGCTTACAACCGCCTAAGACATTGTGGAGAAGTTATAAATGGAAGTAGCTCAAACCGCCTTACTGCTGCCAGTTCATAACAATTTGAAGTACTTATATCAGCTGAGATAAATAAATGGAACAAAATATCGAGGAAGAGTGAACCAGCCAGCAACGACGGTTGAGTCAAAAGCTGGTCTCACCGTCCCCTTTACACAGCTAAAAAATCAAGTCAGAGGACTCAACACCGAAGGCAGAGATGAATTCCACAGGAGCAACTTGGTCAGCTTGAAACACGCTTTGAAAACAAAAAAGATAACCAGGGGAGTTCAACAGCAGGATAGCCATTGTGTGTGTGATCATAAGAGACTTGAAAAAAGAAGGATCAATCGTCGTACTGCCACCAGATGATTGGTGAATCACAGTGCTACCGTGCAAACTGGACGACAGAATTGCCGAATGATATAATCATCTATCGAGCAAACGACCAGCATCCCTATTCAACTGGTCAGCTGAATCAGTATGGCTCTTGTAAAACTACAGTCAGCACAAGAAATAACCAGCCAAGAAAGATGGAGAATGAAAGCGAATTATCGGGGCATCGAACAATTCAACCGACTAACGAAGACAAACATGGAAGGAACCTCTACCAATCGTCTCACTACCAGGAACTCTAATTGTTAGGCTGGTCAAAGATCTATGAAGGAGATTAAGACACCTGATCAGCGGATCAGAGCACACAATACACAACATCGACAAACTACAAAATATCAACGTAAGGAATGAGGAAATCATGCTCCTGGTTGACCTCAATCAACGGTAAACCAACCAAAACAGGATCCCGTAAACTAGAAAGCGCATGCAAAATCCCGAATAGATAGGCACTTCAAATTTGGTGAACAGGCTTGTCAACTTTTCAGAAGAGCTTGGTAAACAATCGTTAGTTTTTACTTGGGCAACTTTTCACTTTTGACACAAGAGCTTCATAAGGCCAAGTGAACAGGTCACCAAATTGGCTAGGTTATCAGACAGATGGGAAACCAATCAGTAAGTCCTCTTCAGATTATCACACTAGATCAGTGTTGAGTGTCAATTAACGGGTCATGTCGACTAGTGTGGTTGCCAAAATCTTGAATAGATGGGTTGGAGGGGTTTCAAATTAGTCCCGATCGCTTTTTGTTCCTTAATCTTCCACTTCAGGGTGCTTCAATTGACGATTCACATCGGGTGCCACTGGTAGGTTTTCGTTGGTCTTCGTGGCCATGTGAATGTTGCGACAATTTAGTTGGGGGGAGGGGAGGTGGGTAAGGTTAAGAAGATGACTGCTCTCCCCTCTGACAATCGCACACTAACACGTGTTAGCTCGAGTGACCCAAGGCCGTTCACCACACGCTTGCCTGTTCCATGCCTTCTATTCTGTTAACACTAGGATGCTTGCTTCCACCGCCTCGGTTATCAGTCTCTGTGACGTGAACCGTAATCCTCGCCTCAAAACCTCAACATTTACAAGTCTATTTTGTGTCCCGTGTCCAGTGCGTATTCCGCAACTACCGAGTCCTTCAGTAACGCTTGATATACATTTGCGTTTCTAGGCGGCCTGTTTAGTTTCCCAATATGCCTTCTACCATACTTGTCAACTATTGAGAAATAGAATTATCGATATCCGGATTTATCATCGAAACAGTGAAGCAGAAACAGGACCAGCTATGCAGGTGACAATTTCGTCAATATAAAACAGCTAAGAACATACAGTGTATGTGAAGTGCTCAACAATACATTTCAGCATCATCAGTTGTGTGAGGATATCGAGTTTACAATCAAACTTGAAGAGGACAATCAACTCTCATTCATAGACGTACCGGAAAAAAAACCAAGTAGTAAACCCCTACATCACACACAATGAACCACAAGAGTTGTCTCCGAACGGAGAACCATTGCAATACCGCCTACATCGAATATCTCAGATCAACAGTCACCCATTGAATTTCATAAGAAGAAGTTTGAAAGAGGCCCTCCGATGGCAGCGGTAACAACAACACTGATCAAATGCAAAAATTGGTCGTTCTATCGTACACCAGAAACATATTTAAATGTACAGCAATAGAACGCAACGAAAAGCAATCCCGGTCCTTTGTTCTGACAATTTTTATGGTGCCCTTGTTTAGGACAACCTGTGACCGATATTCACTAAAAAGTCTCTAATATAAACTGATCCGACAGCTAAGTTATATTGAATCTGGTTCATAACAGCCTTGTTCCGCGACGAGTAGGCTCATACAGAGCCAATCGCATTTTCGGCCGTATTAACGTATGTATCAAAATACGGTTGGCACTTCACACAACCCAGGTTATGAGAACTTCCTTGAGAGCCCCTTTTTGGACAATCATGTCTCCTGGTCAACCTTCGGATGCGCATAGATCATGATGGGCATTTTACCAGCGTTGAACCGGGTGGTGACACGTTCCACCGCAACGCATGCCGTAGATAGAGGTTGGCCATTAAAGTCCGTAGCCCAAATCATGAAAGGTCCGATTATAGCTTTCAGTACATTTTTACCACTATTCGGACGTTATGGTCATGAGATTTGGAGATCGTTCAACCGAATGAATGCGGAGACTATTGCTCACACAGTTCTTTTGACTCAGGTTCTTGATGAGACATTGTGCAAGCTAACATACTAACACAGGTGAAGAAAGTCAACTTGAAAAGCGAATCCACTTAGATAGTATCCTCGCATTGATTCAGTTCGGTTCACCAATACTATTCATATAATCGGCAAGGTCGACGCTGCAGTCAGTCTCCTGAAATTCCAGACCATTAGAACATGCGGTTAGTTTTCTCTCATTATCCTTCATCGGTCAACCGAATTTCGTTGAGGGTGGTCAGGTGAATACAATGACAGCTCAGTACCTTGACAACAAGGACCATACGTCCCACGGGTTTGGCGCTTTCAAGCATCTAGAGAAAGGTTCTAACGTGTCCGTTTACCAGTGCAAGGAATACTTGTGACGTTTTCAGGTAGCGAATAGAGGGATGTCTCCTCCCAATGGTAATGATAATGAGGTTAACTACGAATAAGCTACTTGTGGTGAATAAACAGTTGAGGGTAAACTACGTTGGTTCCGTCTGTTCTGGCCTGAAAATCTGCAATGCAGTCACACTGGCGGACGTTTATAAACACAGAACAAGGCCTCGGAGAATTGGAGGCGGTGAAGGCGCCAAGGTAAACAAGGAATAAATCGTTCTGAGTGCATTTTTAAAAACGTATCAAGTACCATGGTGCATACGACCACCCTCAATTCACTTGAGGTGTGACCCGCAAATCAGGTGGCGACCACATATTAATCCAGCCAATAGTATACATATATTGTTAATATCGCCCTTCTGCTACCACGACAACTTTTAGCCTAGTGAATTGCCGTTCACTTGAGCCTGCAGTCACGAGTATTGTAAAAACATGGACACACGTTTTTGAACCAAGTCTGGCTTTCTTGTTCCCTGTCGCGGATATGGATCACCGCTCTGCATCAGAAGAAAGCACATTGTAAAGTGGTTCTGTGATTTGTGAATACCTGCTGTTGATACATTACGCCAATCATCTAAATCAAACGCCCAAGCAACGCTGGAAGTTAATCAATGGGAATATTATATGCGACCCGGCTATGGCATCAGTTACACAGGCCAGGAAGGACATTCCAGCAAAAGGAGCTGACATAAGTTTCGGAACCACTGTTCCAAAGGTAGTCATGAACAGCCAGAACTGGGTTATGGGTAACAACTGAAATACAGAGAGCAGACAACAATCTAACAGGAATTCAGACCGACCTGTTGGAAGAAAGAGGTCCATCCCTGGATCCAATAGAGCAGCCAGCAGCAACTGAGTCGCATTTTCATCGCGCGACTCTGCTCATAGTGATCCTCTGACCAAAATGACCGGATAACATGTGCCAACAGGCACTCTTTGATCAGGATGCCAATCCACAGGATAGTCACGGCAGGACGCCCAAGTAAGCCTACCAACAAAGGATAAGTTGCAACTGGTTGCAGTAAATCGGACCAAAAGCGCTTCTCTTCATTCGGCTGGAAAGTTAATTTATGGAGCGACTGGTTGGTATGCGTCCAGTTGTAGGTACACAAGCAGTCCATGAGTAGAACAAGGTAGACGAAACGAGCTGAGGTGATTACCTGTTCACTAAATAAAAAAATCAGGGAAAAATGAGACAGTAAAGATGGTCTTAGTCCAAAATTTCGATGAATTGGGTAGCAGTACGCAGGTGCAAAGAGAGAATCATACCAGCAATGTTGTGGAATGCAGGTAGCTCGGGTGCGCTGTTTGGTTGTTGGTCTGTTCGCCGAGCTTGGCAGCTGGCAACCAAAGAGAATCATACCGTTCGATGGTTTCTGTCCAAAGAATTTCGGTGGACGATGAAATCGATAAGAAATATTCACAAACGATATCCGCTACGCATAATCCGTGCCATGTTCCGACTGAACTGAGGCGCGTGTAGCATGACTATTGTGGGCAATAAGGTCACGCACATATATTGTCCTATTTACGCTGAACTTCTTGTTGCCCCCAAATATGAAAAAAACGCACTACGTATATATTGGGAATTTAAGGTTCTGAGCTTCAACGATGGTACTGCCGATCCAGGACGACGTTGGTCTACGAAACACCGTAAGTGCTTGGAGCGTGATGTGGATGACTTACATGGAACTGATAATGGTGTATAACGCAGGGAATAAATTGTGGGACGTCCACTCCAGATGGGTAAAACGTAGCTGGGAGGATCCAGGTTATTGATCAGGGATCCCAGGAAGACAACATGGTCCCAAGACAATCTGCTCAGTTTTCCAGGTAGGGGATGACAACTCTATGAGGAATCTATCGAAAAAACGTCCAATTTGTATGAAGCTCTCATGCAATCTAAAGAAAACCCCCTCTGGAGCCAGAGTAGCCGTCCGCACATACATAGTTACCGGCGTACTAGTACTAAAGCACATATGGCAAGATCACTGTTAGCGCCCTGGAATTTAATTACCGTGAGGTGGTTGTTGAAGATGAACAAAACTTCCTGCTTGGTTTCTCCACAGTGTTTTTCTGTCGATGGTTGTGACTCTATTGCTCTAAAGACAGTTCAATGGTTAAGGCGCGAAGATCCGCTGTTCGAACACAACCCCGGCACCTCGGCTGCTCCTGTCTAGGCTTGCGCAAACTGGCAGTATTTCAGCCCTAGTGCCTCCTTCGGGTGGCAATGAAGCTAGGTACAGAAACGGCGTTACAGCTAGACGATTTTTCCAAGTGAATTAGTGGCGACCGCTTGCAGATCCTCAATTGCGTTGGTTACCCTGTTGCTGTATTGTGGATATTATCGGGTATCACCACGCCTGGTCATTGACTCCTAGTTAGTTCCGGTTTACCATAGTCTGTATCGAGATGCAAAAACGGTTTACCGAGGGAGTGAGTAATATTACCGTTACTCTTAACAATTGGTCCGGCAATGACCAAGCGGAGAAACGCGTACCTGGAGCCAAAAACCGCAGTCCACCTGTAGTAGAGCTGACTTAACGACAGGACAAGTAAAGAGAGGAGAGGCGAAAATCGGGCAAGTGTTTTATTTCTTGATAGGCCGGCGCCCCAGCTGCATGATTCAACTGCAATCCAACGCATTACGAAGAGCACTATCCATGCGAGAATTTGGGCAGGCCATAACCAGAAACTGTGCTCCGGACTATAAACGAAAGGAAGAAAGACAAACTGTGGATGAATTACTCTACGATAGGGCTAAAACACTTATCAAACTCTCGAAATAACTAACCTGTAAGTGGCATCACTTTACCCGTCTGGCATCGTGATTTCAACGGTTTTAGCGGCTGAATTTGGATTATTAGTGCATAAAGTCAGAAGAAATAAGTAATGACATCCCAGTAGGTGCTGAATATATGCCGACTAGTTTTACCGAAAAGCCATCCTATGGACTTTTTGACAGGTGAATCTCCTTTACCAGTTAACGGCCTCCTAGTTGTCCAGTGAATAGTTACAAAAACGCATTTGATTCGCTGTGAATGTTTACGATGGTGATATGGTTTGGCTATGTTTAGGCTACCTACTCTTTTTTGTTTCATACAAGGTCGTAAACCTGCCAGCACCGGTCGATATGACGAAAGCTTTCATCGGTCTACAAATGCTTGACCTGACTAGTAAACATAGCACATACAGCCGATGGTTCCATGAGCTAAAAATATCTACTCAATGCACTAGACAGGCGCTGATCACCACAGGCCAACAAACTGAACCCAGTTTCTGGAAGTGTTCGGGTGTCATTGGATGTGGCAACATATTGCCGTGGGTTTCCAGCTGAACGTAACACTCAAAATAAAATAAAAGTGTGAATAACGAAGGACACAGAACAGATACAGCATACAGTTGATTCAGGAGACCTGACGAGCTGCTGAGAAAAGGCTGAGTTCCAAAGTTTCGACCAAATTTCGCCACAATGAGTTATTCGACAGCCCATTTTTATTGAATAGGACACAATCGTCCCATTTGGATCATGCCCGGAGAAAGACCATCTAACCTTGCAAAATACCGATTATCGTTCATCCTCGTCAATAAGCTTATTTTACTTTCTCGATGGCTATTGCATACACGCTAACCATTTCTCTCACTTGCATGTACACGGTGCACCGATACATGCTATAGGGGTCTGCATTTCGAAGGGAGTGAAATGCATTCCGAAGCCTGGGACAGAAAGCTTTCTGTGCAACTTGGGCGTGTTGCTATATCACTGCAAATTCCGGATTTCGTAGTCTGTTACCTGGGATCAGATCTGGATCCATGTCAGTGAAGTGTTCTAGTGCTTCAATCTAGACAACGTCAATGAAGGAACTGAGCGGGAATGGTGACAGCTGACACCCCTATATTGAATGCAGACTGGCGAGACCCAAGGTTTATACACACAGAGAGATCGCATTAGGTTCGCACACTTAATGGATATTACGTTCTTGTATACAGAAGTTCCTCAACTGAGTCGGAGGTACTTTTGATATCCCGTAATAGGCAGGGGATGATTAAGGCGGACTTCGAGAACGGGAATCTGCTTCTTCCCCAAGCAACTGCCGTTCGTTAACTGGGTGAGATTTCTATATGGTTATCCCAATAATTCCTCAGTGATTATAGCAATTAAAAGATTCACTTTTTGTAAAAATGGAGAACATGGTTGGAGAACTCCAAATGGATGTTCTGGTCCTGGGTTCTCTTAATTAGATGAATCAGTTCTCTTCGATTCAGCTTCTCAACCGGGAACCGAGTACGACTGGGTGGTTCTGGATGCCGCAGTCCGGCTACTGACTAAGGAAAATGAAACTTGAAAAACGAGTTGCTATGTTAGAAGATTAAACAAGCAAATCACCGAAAGGGTGCCACAGATGGACGATTAGGATTATATGATGCTACTCGGCTAAGGGGGGCTACACATGACTGAGCCAGCTTAGCTGGTTAAGGAGTATCAAACATCAAACGAGCATTCAAATTGCCAGACACCATACGACGTATGGCAACATTAAGAATCAGGTGCGTAGACACCGATGATCGAAGGCAAGTACTGCTCTTTTATCTTCGGCGTAAGATGGACAGGTTTCACCCGCACCGGTTGTACTGCGGCGTTTTACATTCCGCTGAAGGATACGCGAGGTAAGTGATTATCCCGAAGCCAAAACGAAATTTCCCCATTCAAACGCTCATTTCCTAAAAAGAAGCGATACAACTGTGCAGATGAGAATTATTAATAACTAGTTCCAAAGGTTAAACCGCGACGTCTAGATCTGGAGTGCAGTCATTCAATCCTGAAGTAGACCTATGCGTTTTAACGGGAATAGGTGTATTCCGAAACTATTGTGTGGTAAACTAAACTATCTAGTGTAATTTGCATTTTGATAGTGCCTGAATCCAGCTTCACGGTGTCTCCGAGATGTAATCCAGTCTCTTGAGGGCACCAGAAGCCATACTGGTCTCGTTAATTCAGTATCTCAATACCTGATCCATAGCCTGTGTAGATCTTGGTGTCTGAAGGAGTATTGGACACTCTACAACACGAAAGTCAGTGCACGACATTAATTGAGATTCAGATTAGTGCACAGGCCAGCTCAATCAGATAAGCATTCAGTTTACGGCAGCGAAGCATCAGTGCCAACACTGATGTTGCTGTCTTTGATGATGATTACCAGGAACACGCAAACAATAGATACTTCTCCACAAACAAGGGAATACACACTGCGACCTGGTGGACCAGACTACGCATCAGAACACTTGACGTTAAATACATCCACTAAACTGACAATGGAACTGCAAGCTATCAGTGGTCACTTTCATGATGAAAAACTGATAGTGAGTAGAAAGAAGCAAGCGTAAGCACACCAGCCTGCTTCACGCCCATCAAACCCGTCTAACGTTCACTTATCACACCTATCAAGTAATATTCGAACAAGGTTCACAAACTATCGTGGAAAGTCCAAAGCACTTTGCGGTTAGCGGAGTTGGAAGTGAAATGTAAGAAAATGGCATGTAGAAATTGGGCGTTCGTGCCACTTTTACTAGAGTAGGTATGTATAGAACATCAGGTTCTGTGGGAGGTCCATCATTAGCCTGGAGGTAAATTTCGCATTTGGAGTCAATTACATGCTAGAAGATTTCCAACAGAGTTTATAAGACTGGAGATCCTAGCTGTCAGGTTAAGCGTTCTTAATCTCCTCCTAATGGAGCTGCACAATTATATTATCTTAGGATTTCGATTGGTTTCCTTCCCTCTGTCCGATGACGCGGGTTAATTCAGAAAGCGTGTTCTGTAAAGTTCTCCCGAAGGCCTTCGAAAGCCGGGTGTTCAAACAGCCACTCACAAAAACCTTTTCATTATGGGATATGTAGGTGATGTTCTCGTCTTCCAGGAGAAAAAAGGGCAGGTGGTAAAAGTCATCCCGTCCTTTGGCATGCACTTTGCCTCTGGATATGCAGTCAATTATTACGCCACATACAATACGACGAGAGGCACTCGAAGTTGTGGAGCGTCCACGTATCTGACAGGCTGTATTAGTTCCAACTGTAGGATGCTAGATGAAGTAAAAAAAGAATCTCCAAGACTCAAGTCACGTTTATTAGTTTGAGACACCTACGGCGGCCAAGCAGCATATCTCCAAGTCACAAGGGATGTGTGTATCAGGCCAAATTATGGGCAGGTTTTTTGTATGGCTGTGAAACATGAGCTCATCGGGCAGCGGCACCGAGACGTCCCACAGTCTTCGGCAACCTCTGTCCCAAAACCACAGCTAGTGTAGGCTGGTGCCGGCGAATCCATAACGAAACAATTAGAAAGCAAGTGTCCCATTGTGGAACGGGGACTTCAACCGAAGAATGTGTGCAGCACTAGAGGCTGTGGTAGCTGAGCCATGTACTGCTGTTTTCTCGTCTAATTCAAAGTGGAGGGAGCAGAAAGATGGTCAACCTATGGCCTGGCAGAAAGGTTCAAACGAAATTGCGAAGTCTGGCTGCCATCGGTGCGACTTGCTTTCAAGTACGGGGACCGCTGCAACATTAAATCGATTTAAATCGCGTTCTTGTCGCCAGTTTCTACTCACATTACCTGAATGAGTGGTGTAGGCTGACACTAAGTCCCTTCCCAATCCAACTTCATTCTCTTCTTCACAGCACACGTCAGAGTGGAATACTGGTGATACACTGTCCATGAGGATGATCTTTTCTGAAAGCTGAAGGCACTATTATGTAATCTTGTTTTTTTCAGCTGGATTCCTATCGATAATCTCCAACGTTCGGTTCAATTTTATTTATTAATTCTGAATTTTCAGTTGCAACATTGGTGTCGACGTTCTGGGTTCGTAAAAGAGCATACAGAATTGCTTGAATCATCTATCCATTATTTCTGTGGGTGACTTATGCCTCCGTCTCCCAACAGTATCCTATAATCTTTTCCTCGGCCTGAGGCGCGCCTGAGTGGCTTTTAGATAACCATGCAATTCTTCGTGCTTTTACCGAACAAGAAATTCTTTGATCTGCTTGAGATTTTCAGAACATCTCAGCCAGTACTTTTTCGCCTCGCTGGTCGTATGGACAAAAAGTTACAAAGGAATTCTTCTTTCAAATACCAGATAATTAATTTGCGGACTGTTGTCTTCAAACCAGTCAGCGGTGCAGTCACCTGATCAGCTTGGCTGTCGTCATTAGCAGTTGATTCTTTAAAATGCACCACTTGTCAGCGGGCTGCATGAGTGGAAGTGTGTCAAAATACAAGCAAACAGCACATCGACCCTTAGTCTCGGATCTTTCAGGCGTTCTACGTCGAGCCTCATGAATTACGTGTTGAAGTTGGCGTAGAGTGGCTTGTGAAGCTGGGCGACTAGCTTTATTCAGACGAACTAACATGTGCCACAGTCTGCTACTCACATCACTGGTGTACAGCCTACTCCCCGAACGTCTCGTTTGTAAGGATCCACACACAATATACAATCAATTGATTGTCGGATTATAACATCTTATTCCACAACGGTGTGTTTTGAGTTTCCATACCATACAAGGGGCGAGATGACTCAATGGTTAGAGCTCGAATTTACTGACCAGAAGGCCCGTGGTTCGAACCCGACCTCCGCATCTCGAGTTCCACTGTCTAGGCTTGGGAAACCTGGCAGTATTCCAGCTCTCGTGCTCCGGGTGGCATTGCAGCTAGGCGCCGAAAGGTTGCCACAGCTGAACGATTACTATATTATTATACCATACACCACATGGCGCTCAGTTTGTTTAACAAGATCTGAGCTGAGCTTGGTCTGGAGCTTGTCGCCTTGTCGAAAATAAGTGTTGTCGTTGGCGGGTAGATCAGTGCTACAAAGGGGCTTGTTATTAAAAGGGAGATCGAAAGTGAAAGCTATACATTGAAGGCAATGGCTTGGATACATGTGCGTCTTTCAGAGCGTGACTGGGCCATGTATGTCAATATCGCTAACCCTCCAGGCATCCCCATCCAGGAAGGCACTTATAACAAAAGCAGATGCGTTTTTCGTCATTGTCCTTAAAACCGGCCTCAAAGTTATGGCATAATACACCTAACCCGTTTCTTCCTTCCGAATGGTCTTGTAAACAGGCTTCCTCAGAGCGTTTGGCCTGGTAACCTGCGTAGCAAGTCAGCCAAACTTAAACGGCCTACCTACCGTTTCTGACTCACTCCCTTCAAAAACACACGGAGTACTTAAGCAATACAAACTTGAATACTGTTCTAAATACACCAGTTATTCGACACCGCACGTTTCTGAACGCCCTAATCCCTGATGCGAATAACAATATGGAAAGCACTGCAGCATTGTATACTCGACCTTCGACCAGCAAGCTGATATCGATTCTACTCCACAGATGCTACAGGCTCACCATACAATGCTTTTCGAGTGGTCGGGAATTCTATTGCGGGACCTTTGTGCAGTACATAACTAACAACAGGACCAAAAGCAGCTTCCAGACAAAGCAAGACAAGGTCCCTGGCATCAGCATCACCAGAGTCTGTTAAAGCGAGCAAGCAAACAATCAAAACTAATTTTTCAAAAAATTGTCTTCCCCTTCCGTGTTCACATACTGGTCTAATGCGATGCCGGCTCTCACTCAGCGCTTCCACGCCCTTTTTGGATGTACGAATAAATGTTCGGGCGACCTCTTCTACGAGTACGTTTTTTCCGTTTTACACAGCAGGTAGGCCACCAAAGTTCCTTTATCTTCCTCAAACAGCTCCAAGCACAATTCGTCCAGACCTGGTGCACATCTACGCTTAAGAAGGGATATTTTACGCGCTGGTTACTCTCCTGAAGGTTTGGGAAGGTGTGCACCCCATTTACCTGTATGCACTGTTTTCAGTGTCTGTTTGCAGGTGGTCAACATAACCGACCCTTGAGGTGCTCGGTTCACCTTTTCAGACGGCATTTTTGCGATTAAATTACTGGGCGGATAATTTCATTTATCGCTTTGCTGTTGTCTTCCCTTGACCAAATGACCAAATTAGGTGTTACGGGGCGCAGCCGCCTCATGTGGTGTTAGCTAGCCCCCAGAACTCGGTTTCGTAGTGAAACGTATACCTGAGATTGGTATCTGACCGCAACTTCTTGAAAATAGCAGGTGGCAGAAAGGCACTTGTATAAATATACCCTAAATGGATCCTCAAACAAACTTCACTCGAATGCCTTCAACCCATCGAACTGGAGACACATTAACATGACCGGATATGTGTCCATTATCAGTTGAAGATGCGCGATGAATTTAGCGAACGTTTCCTGATAAAATACCTACCGAAGGCAACAATCCATACGAAGTTTACATTCACCTACAGGCTTGTCTGGAGAGGGCTATGAAGTCACGTAATGAACGCGCTGATACCATACTGTATGTAACAATTTCAACAAGAATACAAGGTTCACCGAACACTAACATTTCCTTTTTATCTTGTCAACTGCATACTAAGTAGCTAGCCAACAATGGACAAAAATAGACAAGTGGCCAAAGCCACTTTGCAAGTAAATCTGGTTCCTTCCCTCAAATACTGAATATTGCCTTGTGCAAGGGTGGTCTGTACAGGAAGATTCATTACAGCATAATTTCTTGAAGAAATAAAGACTATTGTCGGTCAGTCTACTTGCAGAACTTCAACCAAACCCGAGCCCTCTAATACAGGCGGTCCGGGACTCACAACAAGTGAATGTTCATAAAATATTGACTCACCTGTACAACCAATCGGACAGGTCTGGAAGGTGAATCCATTTGTCACCCGTTCTGTGCATTTGCCTCAATAAGATGCGATCCAGAAATAGAATTCCAAACGCACAGAGGATGCTGGAACGCTTAGATGACCATGGAAGTGGGCCAAGCCAAACCAGGGTAGTACACAAGACCAAAGTGCTTACGCTGAAAAAGTACCACAACTGGTGCTCCTCTTCCGCGTAACTGCTTCCAGATAAACTGATGGTTTGAATGAGCAGACAGACAGTACAGAACGTACACAATAGCTTGGACGACATATAGGAGAGCAATTCAGGCTGCCCGGCTGTCTTGAAAGCAAAAAGCTAAAGGGATGAGGAAACAAGATATATACGTGGTAAAGGCGCCGGAGTTGAAAAAAAGTAAACCATCTTTCCGCTTATAAACTCAGAAATGGGCAGGTTGCGTAACAACCTGGAAAGCAACAAAACAGCAGTCAAAACCACCAAATGAACGTGCAATCAGGTTCTGCAGTGATCCCAACACCTACTTCAAACTTATGGGTCACTCCAAATCACACCACTGTTCGTCACAACAAACTTACATATCAACGTCAAGTAGGTGATACATCAACTAAACGAACGCTGTCGGGCATACTGAGCCAATAGGGAATTTTAGCGTCGGTGCTACATTAGCACGATCGACGGTCATAGCAAGTAGGCAAGAACTCGCTTAGTAAAAACCCAACCTAAACAGGAATCCATGCACCGACCGAACGGTTATTGACATCTGCTGTACACCTGCCTATTGGCGGTTTGCCTGATCACAACAGCTGTCTACTTGCAACTGCCCCGCTTGTAATGACATGATAAAAATATTGTCGTAACGAACAAATACTCATTTTCTACGTCCCCAGCACGCATGGAAAGAGCCCTAACTGCACCCGTGATCGACGATTTCCAAACCCAAGATCATCATAAGGGGGCCACAAACCATTATATGCTCACCTTGCCACCAAAAACCACAATGCCGTTTAAAATTTTGGAGCACTTTTAGGGATTCATCCGTACGGCTCGCACGGTGGGCGCTCTAGGTGTCGATCTTCTGCTCCACAGGCCCTCTGCAAATTGACTGTCCATAAGGATAAATTGAAAACATGAAGTTCTATTTTAAACTTTTGGCCCTGGTCAACGACAATCAGTAGGCATGGGCAACATCAGTGATTGACATCTCGAGATAGGTGTTTAACGGAGCTACGCATCAGAGACTACAGCGAATTTCAATTCGGTGGCGATTAAACCGAGCTTGTGGTCATCTTCATTACTGAGGGCTATATTCAGATAAACTGAGGAGAAGAATAGGTCCCAAAGGTGCATGGTCAAGCTATATCGTCCAGAGTATTTAACCTGGAATATCAAGTAGCTGGATCCTCATCCAAGAAGACGGCAGTTGCCATCGTGACATTGTATGCTGGTTATGGCTTTCAGGTTATAATCAGACGTCCCATACGTAGATGATTGTCAACCGGTTCATAGTGAGACGGAAAATGTTTTTCAAAAAAAAAATGGTACCACTTGCAAACCGGCGGTGCCCATGCGAATCAGATGGAATAAAGAAGCGAAGGCCAGGTGGAAGCACTGTGGCATAACGGTCGGCGTTCATATAAACGACTTTGCACTGATTCCTTGAGGAAAACAGTCGATTGTTTTATTTTTCAGCATCAGATTACGACGCGATCGGAACCGATACGGACATTCGTCAAGCCCATTAAAGAACGTTTTTCTTCATATGGATCATAAGGATCCGTTAGATTTTCAACAATCATTTCTGATAAACGGCAAAGCGAAAGAAAGTGGCGCAAAGTTCCAGAAATATTTGGTAAGCCACTGATGGCTTTACACTTTTTCCTCGATTGTGTTTAAACTACTCTGAATAGGAGAGTGAACTGCGATAAAGAGGGCTGTCATGATTGCCGGACATTGGATCACACCTTCTGCAGTCACGAGTGCCTATTCTGGACCGCCGTGAGTGGCATAAGGTTAGGGTAGCGTCGTCCAATGTGTTACTGGCTATTCAAACAGATATGATGAAGCCCGGTTCGAATCAACAAAACACACTTCAAATATAGTCAAGTTGGAGAAAAACCTTGGGCAATGACTGGACTAAAAACGGGGGCAGGTACACAGCAAAACAGCATACCTGGACGTTCGTGTGGTTCGAAGACAGCCGTTGCTTTCCAGACAGCTCACGGACAACCAAAAGACATAGATACAGGGTTACCTGCGAAAATTAGTGAAAAAGCGGAATTGAACTCATTCAAGCATACATGTTTTCCAGAGATTATAAGAAACTGCTAGGGACATTCGGTCTCGCTCTCGGTCGCTGAATTCATGAAGTTTGGACGTAAAATCCAGTGATGCAGCAGATGGAACGATTAAACGGGATATGAAATGTTCTTATGACACCCACTAAATGTAATTTACGTGAGTGGTGCAAACAAAGGAGACACTAGCTCACTTTCAAACTGTGTCTAGGTAGAAGCGAAGAGGTTGGACGCTGCGAACTGTCGGTTAGGTGATAAAAACGCTGGAAGTCTTACGAGGAGTTTACCAGTTGAACAGGTCAACGTTCTGACCACTATGGATAACGTTTTTCACAGAACAATGAGTGGGTATTAAAGAATACCAAAACAAATAGTGTGGTGCTACGTAGGTTGTGCTCGATAGGTTAAGTCACGTTAGTTGTGTGCCCAGTTAAGAGGTGTAAACACCTGAAATTAGGTTCGATTGTCAGTGTGCGGGATAGCTTGGTGGATAGAGCGCCAATTTACTGATCAGAAGGCCCGTGGTTCGAACCCGGCCGCTACCTCTCGACTTCCCTGTCTAGGCCTGGGCAACCTGGTAGTATCCCAGCCCTCGCGCTTCCTTCGGATGACATGACTGCTAGGCACCGAAAGGGTGCTACAGCTGGATGATTGATTGGTTCACGCGAGTTTACCCGTCTGCACGTAGTGAAACAAGTCGGACCAGACAGCTGACGACTCGACGCAGTCGCACAGAACGAGATTATACGGACGACTAAGCATTGTTCCACGTGCAGAACAAGATCTTGCAAGCCTTCAAAATTGGTCCGATGGCTTCTAATCGCTGAGTCCCGTTCCAGTTTTATTGACTCACTGGAAGTTTGAAGAGGGATGTGAGTGTGCCGAACCTTCAGTCGTCTACTAATTTTCCTGATATAAATGGATTGAAGGTCAGCGCCACAGATAGTGAGTCTGGTCCTCAACTTTGGTCATGCTCCCACTCTGACAGCTATTTGTCCATCCGAAAGGCTGTGCGGATATTTAAGTTGGAAAAAGCAACGGACGCTCTATGGCCAGTAAGGGAAATCAATGTACAGTGTTCATTTCCTACAGCGACGATCTTCCAGGGAACCAAATCGGTTGCTCTAGAGGATGGATTCTTATGAGGAAGATGACGATAATTCTGCCTAAAATTAAACTGTTCAACCGTTTCTGGCGTTTCTACCCTGAAGATCAATTTTGGTATATATGGCTTGTTTCTGATATTTTTTTACCTTCGAAACGCTTGCAACTCATACGGAATTCCAACAAACCTTCACAGTAGTATAAAGATAAGATGTATAAAGATTAGTTGTCCAACGGCTTGGAGACCCACTCTTAGACTTTGTCAGTGAGTTGTAATAGGGTTACGATAATCGGCGGTACACCTCGCCACTTTCTATCTCCCATTCATACAAACCGATTTTGCTGCCTTTTCAAGCCTCACTGGTACGAGAAAATGAAAAAAGATGCGGAAGTGCAACTGACGCGTAACTCGTGTCAAGTTGAAAATTGATTACCAGATGTTAACGCCCAAGGCATAGTGACAGATACAAAACCGAACGCAAGCGCCACGGCAATGTTCCGTTATCCAACGGAACATATTGGCACAAACCTACGTTTCGTGTTCATCCATACCTCGAGACCCTTGTGACTACCTCCGATTCGAGTTATAAGGCACAAAGATACGCCTTTATAATAACCTAGATGACAGGATATGACAAGAATCACCATCTCATATGGGCACGTTCCAGACACGGATCGGCAAGAGTATTGACCATGTGGAGTACTTACTCCGGATGAAGCAAACATACGATCAAAACTGGCAGCCACCGGATACCACAAAGACAAGGATTAGATATTAAACAATCCGAAAGGACAGTCACTAAGAATACCCTGACCTTCTTGGAAGTGCTGCCCACAAATTAGGGAAACCATATGAAGCATTAGCTACCAATATTTTACACTAGGAAGGTGAAATGGTTAACTCGTAATTGATACTCTCCATAGTCAGGCGGTGTTAAAACTAGTAGTACTTACCGACCACATAATCAGACCTCCCAAAAGCATTTGTGTATTGTCTAGTTTGTCCGCACCACTGAGCGCACGCGATTGCAACTGCTGTGACAGCTTGATTGCCTTGTTTATGTGAGTCTTCACACTAGCCAATGCGTTCAACGTAGAGTTTGAGGTGTTATTTTGCTCCAGATAGAACAATCCTAAAGCTAGTTGCTTCATCAAATTGTTGAACAAAATTACTGAAACGAAAAGGACGGAGATCTTGCGATACAAGTAATGTGACAAGGGGATTTTAGGAGCGATCGACGTACAGATGCAATTTACGTAACGTGTAGAAACAAAGTAGTTGGACAGTAGTTCCCGACTCCCTTGAATGGAACGTGATTCGCAAAAGTTCAGCGGCAGCTGCAAATCAAAATAGGCCCATCTCGAGTTCGATGGAGAACCAAGTAGACAAGATCTATCAAGCCTGTGTTGTTCGCGCTGGTCGAAGAAACGAAACATCGGTGCTAGCGTGGATGGTATGGTAGGTGGGAACAGTTGTGCAAAAGTAGCGAGAACAGGTGGAAATTCCTTCCGACTTTTATACCACAACCCTGGGCAGGTTTTTCTGCTACTTATACAAGTTAGGTTTAAAGCGCGGACCATCAACCGATGCCAAAAACTCGCAAGATACTTCATCACCATCATGTTCAACAGCAACACACCAGTAGCAATTGTTGGCGCTAGTTGAGAATAGTCGTCAGTATGCATCTCATTCGTCTCGACTGAATTCCATAAATGGCGCAATCAATTTTACCGGTTTCTCAAACGAAGGCAACATACAACGACAGATCATGTCTCATGTGTCAATCTTGCGCCTATTGGCGATGAGTGTCGCTATTTTATCCACTACTGTGGCCATTAACTGCTTTCGTTTGAACACAAGTTCAATGAAGAGCGACCGGTTTTTTAACCACGCCGTGACAAAATCCGGCCTTCCAGACACGGCTAGAGAATCAGGTGAAGGGAGATGGCCGCCCTATTTGCAATTTGGGTTAACCAGATGGGGACACATCCTACAGTATGCTACTGGCTTTGACCATGAGTTGTTCGCCTCAAGGTGACGGAACTGCCTTGTTACCCAGTTCGAGATGCTCCAATTTACCAAACAACCAAGTCTATCTTGTGTGTAGTTTGAGCTACTCTTTGGGAGGCGGCGGAAAAGTGAACCAATGGTAAGTGATCTAGAATCCATCAGACACGTTATCCTCCCATACAGGTGGTGTCCGTTTTTATGGCCATTCACTTATTGGAATCAGGAGGACCGAAGTGAGGCGTCTGATTCCACCACGAAACACAGCAAGCTCCTCAATATGGAATCCTCTAAAGAGAGGCGGTGGAAAACGTTATCTTCCATAGTCGACTCACATCTACCTGAAGTCTACGATTTTGTTCTCTGAAGAGAGACTTCACCTATCAATAAGGTCAGGAACCTAACCACTATCACACAAATGGATAAAACTCACCTTCTCCAAAGTCCAAATGGCAATTCTAAACGCCATTAGATACAGGCACAGGCCAATGTATCAATGGCTCCTATGTTGGAAACCTGGTTAATCTGGGCGAGCAATATTATCGAGTTCAAAGCCAGGAACACATTGTTACTAGCCATTACGCATTGCCTAGACACTTTCGATTTTTCGATGCTGGTGCTTCGGCTATCATTTGATAAATGACGGTGAAATATTCATACGTCATCATACGCCATGTTCCGAACTACAGTAGAGGCAGGTTACAAGCGATTCCTCACATCGGGGAGGGGAACTCGGGTGTAATGTTGTATGCTGTCGTATTGTCAAAATTTATTAGGAACAACGTTCTTGGAAGGACGTTACAAACTATGGTGCCCGAAAAGTGGACAGGAAACTAACTAAAGCTATTTGAGTGGTAAAATTTTTAGGACAAATAATTAAAGAATTCTTGGTATCCGGTATCAGTTGATATTCACCTTAGATTGGAAATCGTTTCCACTGAGATAAACTCGAACGCGAATGAGGATGATTGGAAAACAAGTAAAGGTCAAATCATGAGTCTTACCAGGCACTGTTCAGCTAACCGGGCATCACGAGAAAATTGATTCGGAGCAACGCCCAAAACATCTGAAAAAGCCTAAAGGAATTTGGTACGACTTGCACGACACTCATGTTGGAACTCAGTCAACGATCGCTCAACATTGCCTCCTGAAGGCTTTCATGATTCTCGTCCAATTCTCTTGCTACAGTACACACATACTTTCAAAGGAGAGGCCACTTCAAAAAACTGCTTCTCCTGTCCTGCCTTCAGAAGGATGGGAACCGTAAAAAGACAGCACATGAATAGTACTACTGATATCTAACATAAACAATGACGATAACAGTAGTAATAAAAACTTTAATATCGATGTAGTACTAGACGGGTGCCCAGAAAGGACACGAGGCCGAGACGGATTTGGTGAGGACCGAATCATGTGTGACTCAAAACGGCTCATACTGACCTTGCTCCTCGGTAAGCAAACTTGAAGAACAGCCAGGGTCAAGTGTGACGACTTGCTTGAGCGCTCCATCCGATGTTAACAAGTTACATCCCGAAAAACGGGCGAAATGTGACAACAAATCGATCACAGCCATGATTTGGGTTGACGGGTCATGGTAGAATTTAGCTAGCCAATCAGAGGGAATGATGCCCAAACTGGTTGAAGGAATTCCCGCTCCAGTCACTGAACCGATGAATGTAGCCAGATCAACTTGTTGCGTTCGGGCGCCGTTGGACAGCAGTGTAACTGAACCCTGCAAGAGTAGTATAAATGGGCAAAGATCACGGCCAACAGTTCTAACAAGTTTACTGATACAGGGGTGCTAGGTGGAATTCTGCACCGATACCGCTTTACCGCTAGCAGTTAGGCGCTGCCACGGCCAAGAAGCCTATCCCGTTCGCGAGTGGTCAGATAGGGCCACCTGCAGGTCCAGCATCAAGGTGAGCTCTGATTGGTCGAAAATCTGGATCCAACATTCAATCACGATCTAGTATCCGCCGATTGCCGATGGCGCATTCTGGCGTGAGAATTTCCAGAATGTTGTCGCCGCATACACTTTACATACGAGGCTCTGTGCATGTGTTTTTGACCTGGTTCTGGGTGTTAAGACATGATGTACACGTTTGGTAGTTGTTTTGACGAGAAAACTAGGTTGGAAGATTCTGACCGAGAATTGAGTAGAAGGTAAAGTTCAATAAGGTCAGTTTTCCCGTTCGTTTAAAGCACTAATAATGGCAAATACTCGCGGCAGGTTCACGTTAAACATTGCCTGCTTCTATGGGGTAGACGAAACACAGCAACAAAGTCAACTGCTATGGGTAACTAAATCGGCACTACTTAGTGACAACGCTTAGGGACGTGACTCTAGGCCAGTATCTCATAGTTCGGTCAGTATTACCTACGCTTCATTCCCAGGAAGTTACATTACTTATGATCGCGTAGCCTGATCCACAAGAAAGAAGTGATCCCGACTACCATAACTCGATGAGTTGGAACAGCTAAACAGCAAGAGACATCTAATGACCTCTGATCCACAGAAAGAAGTGATCCCGACTACCATAACTCGATGAGTTGGAACAGCTAAACAGCAAGAGACATCTAATGACCTGATCAAAACACTGGTTACAAGTGTTGGGAAATTTGAGTTTCTGCTGCACCGTATGACTTTGATGACATCACACAATTAAACGGGGTAGCTGCAGCGAAAAAATGAAGTGACTCACGACACTTTCGAAGGGACTGGCATTTCCAAAACTTATAACTTGACTCAACTGCCTATAACGACATAAATGGACGTACAGTGGTTGCACAAGCCGATGACCTGTCTCAACCAGTCGGGAACGGTTCAATGGTGTGGACGGCTTAATTTTGGTTCCCAATCTTGGATGACTGGAGAACTAGAGTATACAAAATAGGCCTTTTTTCATTCTATAGACAGATGGCGGTTAGTTTGGTGGTAACTCAACTCTCAACTTTTAGCACTCCTAAAAAGGTTGCATGATAGCGAATACTGATTTTATGCTGTTGATGATGATGACTCAGAATAAACAACATCTTAGGCCATAAAACCAATGAGTACAGAATAAACAAAGATTGATGAGTAGATGCATATGTTCTTTGTCAATCATAGGTTACTATATTCAGCAAAATCATTTGTTGGCGACTTTGGTGGGCATTAGAGGGTGGTTGAACCGATGCTTCAACCCATGTGTGGTTGTGTAGTTCGTTTGCCCGCTCAGCTGAATGCCTGCGGCGACAACGTAAGGCTAGATAGGGTGCGGATGCCACCCTAGGAGCTGCTCAAATCAAACGTAATTTCACTAACAAAATTCAAACAGTGCCAAGAAAAAACTGATATTCACCTTGCCTTCAAGCCGGCCACAGTACAGGTCCGAAGTCGTTTTTATGAGATGAATAAAGTTGAGCAAAATAGCGACGCACTCATTGTAAAAGCAAGGATAACGCTAAAAGTTGTAACGGCCTTCAGGAAGACTAAGTTGGGTACAAAATAAGTATCTCAGCATCAGAGTGAAAACGTCAATTAAGTCCTCTTTATCGCGTCACTGAAAACAGCACGGTACACAATCAGATAAGCCTTAGGAAGAAAAGACTTGGGAACGATTAAGAAGTCATCGTTTTCGAAAAGGTTTGAAAAACAATTCGTGGATTTACTGCTGGATAACTTTTCCCCCTGGCTAAGCCAAGTAAATAGGTTAAAAGCTTGGCTGAAATTTAAGGCAGAAGGAGAGGCAGTCGATAAGAAATTTCCCCTGGAGTTTCATGAGATGTGGACTGTGATTCTTAATGAGAACGAAACGGCTGTGCAGTAATTTTGGCTTTCCAGAATAGACTAGCTTCATGTATAGGGAGGAAATGCAACTTAAAATATCGCACAGTTCATCGTCTAGTCTAATGTAAAAAAGTGCATTTTATCCTCATGTAAGGGCTCCAGTCTGAAGAGGTACCATCCTATTCGAGGCTCTCGATTTTCCTGTGAAAACCTGGGGATACAAGAAAATGCCCGTTTCTTGGGGATTTGCTGGAAAAGTAACTTTTGCTTTTGTACAAAACGACATAAAGGTGCGGTCGATCGGTGCACGATCAGGCAAACGAACCCCCGGAATTCAGCAAACTGAGTGATAACATGTCGAAACAGCAATAAATGTCCTAGTGAACCGTTTGTCCCATATGCTCCATTCAGAAATACTACTCAGCCTAGTTTATGACAGTGACTACAGATGCCACAAAATACGACTACTGCTGCAAAGTAGCATTATGTACGTCTTCAGTCGGATTGATTGGTTGAACATCTTACAATGGCCTAAACAAACTTTAATGTACACATTGAGACCGACCATCGAAGATAAAATCCTTCGAGTTTGAGCTGTTGCCGGGTATGCTGAGGGAGTCCAACCGAAGAAGACTTGCTAACAAATATTTATAACCAGTAGCGACGAGTCAGATTATATGGGTGATTTATGCGGACTCGCATGCAGCTCACAGTAACGACCAGTTGGGAGACGTGATATACTATTCCTAAGGTTGCTGGAAAATCCTCCATAGCCTAAGACCAGTTTCGCCCTTCCTGGGACTCATCCCCGAGTTTCCGTCTAATTTATGTTCTACTTGAACCTAAGTTGGACAGATTTTCACAAATACTCTCATTGGCATACGGATTTGGTTTCTACAGGAGACTCAAGTGAATCCGGCTGAATTCCTCTTTTATGATGGTCCGCGTCGATCGAATGTGCTGCACCAGGCCGCCTCATGTTTCAGCTGGTCTAGATAACAACGTATTATGACATCTCGAATGTCACACCAAGAGTTATCTTGCTGACCAAGAATCAAATGACTTCATTGATTAGTAGCGGAGTCGGGACAACAATCATGGCTCGCCCCTCAACTTTTTCAAGGGACGCATTGCCCACTTCTACAAAATTATGAAGGCATACGAGCCGAAGCAAGGGGTACCAACCGTCTATTTGGTCAAATTGCTACCGAATGAGGATAAAGGTAATATTCGCACACAACAGACTGATCGAGACAGGACATAATTTCGCTGGTGAGCGGTAACTAGAATGGAGTGTATCGCTGTCTGATTTCCTCCAAAGAAATAGACACCAAGACGTAGAAGCTGAGTGACCGCTTGATGCGAGCTATGACTGACTGACTGACGGGCTGACTGACTGAATGAATGAATGAATGAATTATGAATGAATGAATGAATGAATGAATGAATGAATGAATGAATGAATGGAATAAATGAATGGATCAGGCTTTGAGTAGATATCACATTCATCTTGGATGTCCTCTTGGTGGTCATTAGTCAGGCAAACGAGTGGTTTTGACTGCCCATCATAAAGCTACTCTACTCGAAAGCTCCAAATGAAGCAATGAACTTATGATCAGAAACATGAGATCCTAGATAACACGAGACAACTCACTTTCTTATCGACGACGGTTGAGCTTAGAATGACCAAAGCGGTGGTAACTTCCCCACTACTAGAACCTCCGTGTCCACCTCGATCATTCATTCCATGGTCACCAGTCAAAATGAACAGCCACTCTTCATTTCTCGTTGTCCCAGATGTCTGAAACCAATTTAGTAAGAAAAGTGGTTCACAGTACCAAACAGGAAAAGAAGCCGAAGGTAGTAGCGACAGCCCCATGTTCTGATTATGTAAAATAATAGGTAATGATGTTGCCAGTGCGAACGCTGCGCGAGCCACACTAGAATCCGTTTGTACTGGTGGGCGTAGGATGATCGACTTCGTGAGGGCAGAAGAGAAAGTTTACTGCATGTCATAACCTGCAGTGAGTGGGCGATACAATGGAGGTGAGGATACAGACCATGAGACAGTCACAAAGCCACCCGTGTTCCGCGTACACAACTCGTAAATGCATACATGATCCGTCAATAGTATCCTCTTGAAAGTGAACAAATGTTCGTGCCAGATGAACGGGTTATCTATCGAGTTGGTTGGGTTTTGCCTTCAATGGCAACTTGGATGAATCAAGCCAAGCCCCATAGTCAATACTGGATGGTATAGGTTCACAATATGAGCTAATCAGGTTCCCGAAAGACGTCTCAAAGCCACGTAACGATGACATTCAAAATTTGTATGGTTTGGCCAAAAAGTGGGTGGGTTTCCGTAGCAATTAGACGATGACATCAATTCAAAGAGCCTAGGAAGGAAGCTCCAGAAGGAGCAGTGTTTGCTACTGTTGAGACAATACTGCAAGAACGGACCCAACTTACTATAGATGAGACAGCTGATGACACTAAAAGATGTTCAGACCTTGGTCACTTTTTGAGTCAGCTATTTAACCTCGAGGAGAAAATCTGGTGATGAGACCTCCAATATCCATGACTTTGGCTATTTATATGCAGGATTCTGAAAGCTTTATCCGAATTCGAGGGACCGCCGATTTCAGCATCACGTTCGTTGCGATCAGGTGCGACAAGGTCAAAAAATTTACCATCACTAAGTTCAGCATGTGGATAGAGTTCAATTCGAACACCCTGTCCCTCCTGGAGTGCATGACACAATAGTACTTGGAAATTAAAAACTACTGTTAAACGGGAACAAAACGACACTGGTGTTTTCCCAAAATACTCACTAGCCCATGTTAATGCAGTGTAGAGCAGTATAGTTTAGGCGACGTTTAGTTGGTCGAAGGTGTTGGGTACGAAAGACCATAACCGAATAGCGCCAAAAAAATGAGGCAAGAGCGGATACCCAGCAGGCTTGGTCAGGTGGCAGGTAAGGCAGATATCGGCTCCAGAAATAAGACTCAATAAAGAATGACTCAAGACAACAGTCATTCCCTTTCAAAATAAGGACACATGGAGTTATTAAAAGTATCGAAGACGGGCGAGATTGGAGTAGCACCCTAGAAGGGAAAAATTAAACTTAGTGTTGATGCAATTGAAAGACCGTTTCCCGGTTGACAGGACTATGGACATAAAGCAGCAACGGTGAGGTATGCACTGGGACAAAGACATAATAGGCCCGGAAATGTGGAATTTTCGAGACGAGGACTAAGAGCTGCACCACAGCAAGTGAGGGAGTGGAAATCGCCAAGCAGCGTGAGTAGAGGGCGTTGGACTTGTAAAACAGTGGAAACAGTGGAAGATCAGCCGAGCTGACAGGTGGTGGTGTACGATTGTCAGTGAAGTCTTCCATAAAAGTGATTTGGGTCTGACATACAAATCCCAAGTCCACTAAAATCAACATAATTTCATCTAACCTAACCACCACAGCATTTACTAATTCACGCAGATAGAGAAAGCCTTGAATGACAATAAAATAGAATGTTCGATTAAGATACCCTGAAACGAAACGGAAAGGTTCCAAACCCCACTAACCCATCAGTAGCAAGTGAGTCGTCCACAATAAACAACGGAAACTTGTGAATAACATTCAGCCCTCTCAGTCTGCCTAACAACTCGTTCAACTCGGCAACTTATTCAGAACTAGTGTCAAAAATGAAATCTAGCCCAACTATAAACAAACCGTTTATCCATCCTTTCTGAAACGGGACACGTGTATTCTTGTGTAGGTGTGTGACACAGCCACACGCAAATGGCGCGTGCTTCTGTCAAATCCGATCAATCCATTCGGTCGCGCTGCGGACACGCTTCGCAACCTTTATAATGGATTCCTTATTCCTATGAAGCCTGTAAAAAGGAATCCGTCATTTCACGTCAGGTTCCTCCAGATCTAAAGCTACCACCTTGTTGCGGAGGTTAAGCTTCAGTGCTGCAATGATCTTGTGGCCTACACCGGCTGCAACCCAGTTCCCCAAGGTTCATCCATACCAGGAAAGCCGGCGATGAGCACCCCGATGAAGAACAGCGAGTTCAGGTACTGCGAGAGATCGTATTGAGAGGTGGTCTGCATTTAAAGTAGTACAATCCCCTGAAATCGGTATGTGAAGGGAGTACGGCGTTTATTTCAGGCGACCAGTATCTCCAAATTTATGGAAGCAGAGATGCTTTCTTCTTCCAGGGGAGTTAGAAAAGGTCACACCCAAAAACTACACATACCAATCGCCATGACCACCAGCGCACTATTCAGTAGGGTCGAAATACTTTTAAAACAAAATAGCCCGGTGCTGCTCAGAAGATTGCTGTTGTGTAGCTGCATTAGAAGTAAGACAGTAATGTTTCGCGCCAGGTCGGCACACTGCAGCCAAATGTGTCAGACTATTGAGTCATTGTCTCCGCCAAGGGTTCCCCAAGAAAACACTGACAGGTGCTGCTTCTAGACTTTTGAGTCAGGGGCTAAGGGCAGGGTACGCGAACAAAACCCGACATCCGATCACTGCTTTGTGGGTCAGACTTTTAAATCAAAGGCTCCAGGTAGGGTGCCCAAACCCCATTCATCGATTTGGGTAACCTGGAAGTATCATGCACCCTTGCGGCTCTCCACCCACTGACGCACGCCATACGCCCTCCATACCCATCGAGTGACGCAAAACATGCAATCCATCTACCAATCCCCTAACCATTGTTACGCGTCTAAACTATGATCGAGAAGAGTGAATCAAGATAATCACTTAATAACATCAAAAGACCTGACTCAGGTTGTTTGTGGTCTATGCCAAGCCTGTCAACAGACGTTCCCCCCTAAAACCTTGCTTTCCCCTTCTGTCGAGGTATGTTGTCTCCGAAACACGCATACGAAATGTCACATCGGTCGTGAGCCCTGAACCATTTAGGACGAACTCAAATTTTCCAAGTTTTACTCTTCGGATACCTATTGATCCTGGCGCATTGACTAACGGTATCTACGAGTCGCAGTCAGCACCATGACTGAAAGCATTTTATAGGAGTGGACCCAAGCAAATAGCATTGTTTGGGCTGTGCGGTCGTTCGGCTCAAATAATGTCGGTTCAAGTTGATTCAGTAACGGTGTTTATTTGTCACATCTGCATGCGCCCTGACGACTGCAGTTCGGAGACTGAGAACGACGGGTTTTATTGAGATGTGTCGAGACTGTAATCCTAGCGGGGGGGGGGCATGAGTGCTCAAGCTGGCCGACTAAGCCCGGAAGGAGCACAGTTGAGTGGTAGATTTGGAGTCGATGCGCAGCGTACGGATAATGAGGAACGACTGCTTCAGTTGTGTGCAGATCTTCGACAAGTTTCTAGCCGGTGCGAACTTCCGACCAAAACGCTCACATCGAGTTACTTGGGGCCACTATCCGCAAGCTAGTCGTGGATCCAGACGGATCACGTGGATGACAGTTAACAACAGAGTCTCAGTCAAACTGCTGCTACTTCTAGAGTGCGCAGCTTGAATCTGGACATGCCAATATACGGGCCCAGCCATCACTTCACTTTTCGTCAGCATTACGCGTGTCAAAGCGGAGCTACTCCACCCGTCAACTCCGAAAAAATTTCAGAGGTCAAGAGTATCGAGCTGATCTGGATAGAAACCGAGTCAAAAAGTTATGCTCTCCGCTTACGGAACCGTTTTTTCACGCTATCCGACTCGGCGGAGTGAACACTGGATATCGCGAGATCGGAAGGCCAGAAAGGCCACATCAGCACCTAGCAACCATGATAGTGCACGCAGGTCTCTCAAACCCTGTGTTCGGTTCACTTTTCTCAGCATTACGCGTGTCAAAGCGGAGCTACTCCACCCGTCAACTCCGAAAAAATTTCAGAGGTCAAGAGTATCGAGCTGATCTGGATAGAAACCGAGTCAAAAAGTTATGCTCTCCGCTTACGGAACCGTTTTTTCACGCTATCCGACTCGGCGGAGTGAACACTGGATATCGCGAGATCGGAAGGCCAGAAAGGCCACATCAGCACCTAGCAACCATGATAGTGCACGCAGGTCTCTCAAACCCTGGAAAATCAAAAACTTAAAGGATGACATAAAACGCCCAGGAGATGAAGAAGGCTCTTGCTGCGGGCGACAGCCGCACCCTGCTTCAGCTCATTCGGTCAAGCAACCAAAAGAAAACAAATGTCAGCCAAACTGCTCAGGAAAGACGGAACGGAAATGCGCTCAAAAAATCAGTCTTGATAGATGAGGTGAACCATTCGGAGAACAGTTCGGCTGCTCTCGTGCAGCACAACCATTGGAAGAACCCAATGGACCCGAATGGAACACCGACACCAGCCCGGCGTCGACAAGAAAAATCCAGTTCGAGATAGCACTCCTTCAACCTGACAAGGCACCTGGCCTGAATCGTCTGCAACCCGCACTCTTCCACAGGGTGAGATCCTGGCAGTCTGACGACCAGCAGAAAATTCGGAATGAAAAAATGCCGGAAGAATGGAGCGACTCGACCGTAATCCCTGTCTTCAGAAATGCCGCAAGAATGTCGTGCGGAAACAGTCACGGCACCCAAGGTGTCTTCTGGCATTATTTTGCGCAGTTTGACCGATAATCGGGAGAGAAGAACTTGTCGGGATTAAGCTGGGTTCCACCCTGGCCGAGGATGTACAGATCATATATTTATCTTGAGACATGCTATCCAGTGGCGTCACTTTTTTAAACGTCTGATCTGCAAGCTGCCTTTGGCTCTGTCGATCGTTTGAAACATTGGCGGTGACTCGCGATCGGAGTGTCCTTTCCAAATCGCATCCCTTATGAGGACACTGTATGCGAAATCCTGTGGATGGGTACGAGTATAGGGCAGGCTTTCACCTG